TCATGGGTGCATACTTCTGTGATCAGGTTAGTTATGGCGCTGGTAACGCTTTTCGTAATCTGAACTACTGAGAAATAGATTCATCGTGCAAAATTAATTTTGATTTTTAATCAAGTAGAATATATTATAAAATTATCGTTAATCATTCCTGATCTGTAAGATATTTATTTAAATACGTTTTATAAATTGATTGTTTTAACAGGAAAACTAAATACATTTTGTGTAATCAATTAATTTCAGTTTTAACAATAAAATTCGATTAATTTTGTAACTTGAAAATTGAAAATTGATAAAATAAATTGTAAAAATAATTCGTAACAAAAAATTAAGTTATTGAAATATGCAAAAATGTATATTATTTTTATTATTATTATTATTATTATTATTATTATTATTATTATTATAGAGTAGATCAGTTTAGTTATATATATTATTAAATGTTTTTTATAAAATGATTTTTTCATAAAATGAAAAAAAAATAGTAAAATGTTTAATTTAATTAGAAGAAAGCTGGTCTTTAGTGGATTTAATTCTTAAATTATTCATTATTTAGTTGTCGATAAGCTTCTATTTAAAAACAATTATTCTTTCTAACCTAGAAATTATACTCTTTTCAATGAGAATTCCGAGGCCGCTGCAAGATCATTCGTACCATTCTCGATCGAAAGATCTTCGCAATCTGTCGCCGAGGTTATGGATCATAACGGAGTACTTTTCTTCGGATTGTTATCTGATCTAGCGATTGGATGCTGGAACAGCGAGCATTTTTTCGAATACGGAGGAAATAATATTGAGATAATCGTCAAAGATCCAGAGACATTGCAGTTTCCGTCTGGTATGAAGGTACATATAAATATGTATAATATATATAATATAATCTGATATTATTATTTAAAATAGAAGAAAAATAATTTCATTGATTTTGTTGAACTTGAAATGTGTTATCATTAGCATTTTCAATGCTTTTTTTTATTCGTATAAACAATTGGTTTTATTTTTCGAAATATACATAAATATATTTTCGATACCATGTTTCAAAACATAATATATAATGCATAAGATCTCCGATAAGGTAGCACTATTATAAATAAAAATTATTTTTGAGTTGAAGCTTTTATAACCAAAAATGCGTTGTGAACTTAACTTGGTATTTTCCTAACGTAATTTAGGAAATATAAAAAAGAAATAAACTTTTAATTTGTATGTCGTATTTCTAAATTTGAAATTTAGAAGATTAGGATTAAATAGATTTAAACTGAGTTTAGAGATTTAAAGAGACTGACGAATTTTTAATTTAAATTATTCTTCTAAGATTTGAAATAGATTAGAATTAGATTTAGGATACATTCAGATTAAGTTTTTGGTTATATATATATATTTAATCTTCTAACTAATAATTAAATAGATTTTGTTAAAAGTCAAGTTTTAATGCTAATATTTACATATATCTTGTTTTAGATCATATCATCCAAAAAAGGTAGACAAGAATTGTGGGTCTTCACGATATCATTTCAAAAGTACATGACTGGTACTATGAATTCGAACGAGACCAACTTTAGGATTCAGGCTGGATTTGTGGATGAATTGGTTCGTGGCACCAAATGTGACGTATCTCTCTTAGGTCGTTTTATACCGTCTCAATGAGGATCATGGCGCCACGAGCAATTCTCTAATCACTATCATCATAGTTCCTGGCCGTCGTGGCGGCACTCGATCTTCAAAAATACACCATTTTTTATAAACGATCGCTTCGAATCGTATTCTCGAAACTATTTTAGGAATCATTATTATCATCATCATAGTTATTTGCAAAATCTTTTTAATATTAAAACCGCAAATACGTATTCTTCGTGGATCAATAATGAAAGATTTTAAGATTATTTGGAAAAATTCAAATTAGAACGAAAGATGAATAAAATTGTGATTATCAGAAAAGAAGTAATTATTTTAGAAGAAAATATTGAGAATAAATTTTTATTGCTCGTGGTGCTGTAGATATTTTTATATTTTTACAAAGATTTTATTTCAAAATGGCGGAGTGAAATAAAAAAATGCCCATGAGGATTATATTACTGACTTATTTATCATATTATTTATTTACTGATATTTATTAAGTTACTTTATTTATTTGATTATAGAATATTTTATTTCTAGTTTTTGTACTTTTATTAATTATTAAAAAATTTATTTATTATTAAAATTTGAAATAGAATTTTGATAAAATAAAAATAATCTAAACAAATTTCGAAAAATTCAATAATTAAGAATTAAAAAGAATTAATGAAATTTGATAAAGACATTGTCATAAAAATAAAAAAAAACATATACATAGAATAGAAAATATTTTGACCAGAAATAAAAATAAGAGATAAAAATTTGTTATATAAAATAAAACTGATAAAAAATAAAATATAAAGTAAAATAATGTATTATTCATGAAATTTTGGACAAGAACAAGTTTTTTAGGAAACAACTTGGTAGAATATGTTGAAAACATTTCTCAACATGATGAGATAATATTGCTAAAATAAAAAGAAAAGAATGTATAAAGCATGCAATCCCATTTATCATATTTTATTAAATTTAAACATTTTTATTAAATTTAAAATTTACTCTTACAATAATGTTAAAATAAATATAAGAAGAAGAAAAAAATATTTTCTCAAATTATAATTTAATAGTACTTATATAATAGTATTATATAAGATATAAATGGAAATAAAAAAAACAATCTTTTTTTAAATACTTTTTATGATATTTATTTGTACAAATTGATATATATAAATAAATCTTATGTATTATTATAAATACCTTATATATTACTTTATATAAAATTATATAAGTTATTATTGAAGTTATTCTATTTTTACACGTATTTTTATTTCTAATATGACGTATATTAATTCGACATTATTGTGATAGAGAAGGACAACAAAACGACGATCTGTATCTAAATGCAAAATTATAATTTTTATTTAATTAATATTAAAAAATTGTTGTACAATTTTTTCTACATGTTTCACAACTCTTATGTATCAAAGAAGTGCTTCAAAAAAAAATAAAAAATTATTTACAATTTATAAATAATTAATTTTCTAATCTATGTTTATTATAATTCTTTTTTTTTTGGCGAATGTTCTAGATAAAACATTAATATAAAGTGCGTTAATATATTCATGGAACATCTTTAAAACAAATACAAAAGTTAATATCGTTTATTTATTATAAGTATATAAGTTATAAATAATTTTGTATATATAACTTTTATGTTTCTAAACTGACCTTTTAAAGGAATATTCGGTATCATTTAATACGTCTGTATATATATAACAGATACAATAGGTTACGCGTTAATTTTATTTACAATTCCAAGTCGATTCATTTCGATGATTGGCGTCGAACACTTTCCATCACAATTTCGAATATGGCACATTCGCAGTCAATGAAGAAAGTTTTTAAAATAAAATGAAATTTTGAAGATGTTATTAAGTTCCAATATATGCAATTTTTACCACATCTCTGTGATTTGGATTATGTGAACACGATGGAACTCGCAGAATCGCAAAATCCGAGCAACAATCTGCAATATTACGAATAAATATGACAATAATTTTCAGAAGTCAGAATATTTTACCAATCCAGATAAACGTTAAAGTGATATTTTTTTCGAACTGGTAAATGATACAAGTGCTTTTATATATATATATAATCTTACAATTTTTTGTCTATATATATATAATTCTAATAAACGTGCAAAACCATGTATATTAGAAATCATATAATACTTTCGAAATAATTAACGTTAAATTGATCAAAATAATAAATAATTAAAAATTGTTTCAATTTGTGATCAATTCGCTTATCAAAAACTAAAAATTATTTAATATAAATTTTATATTTTAAAAATTTTGATAATAAAATAGAAAAAGCACATAAAAATTGATACGTTGATGACTTTAATTAATACATTTCTATCGTCATTTAAAGAGAAATATTTTGGTTATATTAATTTTTCACATATATGATATGATAATAAAATAGAAAAAGATAAGACAAGTAAGCAGTAATATTAATCATTTTATGTTATGTATAATCGTTTCTGTCAGATACAAATAAGTTTCGTGAAAATTATGATTAATGGTGACAAACAGTGGTGATAATAAATACTTGTTTCAAATAATTGAATTGTCATATTTTTCTACAAACATAAAAAGACATATTACAATCATTATTCATATGAAAATTAAAATATACATATCATAAAATGATAGCAAATATTAAATATTAATTAAATATTAAATCATAGAATCGACTTTACAAGCAAATGTTTGATGGAAAGAAAGATAAATAAAATTAAAATAATTATAAAATCGGAGAATATGGTTGCTGAGAATAACGACTTTTCAAATTGTTATTTGTTTGAAAGTCAAGAAAATGGTCTTAGTAATTTTCATACATGCTCATCCTATATGAATATGTATTGGTTTATTTTAACAAATAACAAAAAGTTTAAAATGACAATTTAGATCTCCATGAGATAAATTTCCGAATTTTGAATGCAGATATAGACACATTGATAAAATAAAATTCGTTGCATAAGATTAATCTGAAAAGATCAATCAAATTTTCTATAATTCATATTTTTTATACATATTGTTATTGGTATGTATAATCAACTTTTTATCTAAATCGTATTAATTTTTAAATTAATGAAATAAACGATATTTTCTATGATTATTTTATTTTTAAAAAATTACTCTTCATACTTTCTCTTAGATCTAATTATTATTTCAATTAATAGTTCTTCTAGAATGAAGCAAGACACAAAGAAAGATGACTGTGTGATATATCAAATAAATGAAATTTTGTAAAGTTTTTACTTTATTTTTTTAGGAAATATAAATCATTAAGTTGTCACATTCTTAAAAAATATCTACAATAAGATAAATAGAAATTTAAAAAAAAAAAAAATTTATTTTATCTCTGTGAAATATACGTCATTACAACCTATATATTGATCAACAGTTAGTCAAAATTCTTGCAGTTTGCATACATACTGCATTGCTTCGTCACTGGGAAAATATCTGTAATATCCTAGGTAAGTTATTTTATTACTTCATTGTAATATTTATATTCAATTTTTCATGTGTCTGACAAGAAGAAATATTTTATAGAAAAATGACAAAGTGGTTGTTGCTGGTGGTGTGTCTTGGTATAGTTTGTCAAGATGTCACAAGCGCAGCTGTGAATCATCAAAGAAAATCTTTAAATAATTTGGCAAATTCGATGAACGTGATTTACGAATGGAAACACATTGATTATGATTTCGGTAGCGAAGAAAGACAACAAGCTGCGATTCAATCTGGCGAATTTGATCACACAAAAAATTATCCTTTCGATGTCGATCAATGGCATGGTAAAATATCCTCTTTTTAAACTAATATTGCTTGTCGAAATATTTTAATATTCCAATATTTCTTTCTAATATTCAATAATAATTTTCATCATTCGAATTTCACAGTTTTTGCATCATTGTAAAAATATTTCAAATTTTGTATTTTTTGTTCAAGATAAGATATTTGTCACCATAGAAAGATTAAATGGTGTGCCTTCTTCTCTGAATGTGGTAACTAATAGAAAAGGTAAAGGCGGACCTCTTCTACAACCATATCCTAATTGGTCGTTTGCTAAATATGAAGATTGCTCTGGAATTGTGAGCGCTTTCAAAATTGCGGTAATTGAACATTTTTTTCTTATGATTATCTTCAGAATAATAATTTTTCATTACAAAATAGAAAAAAGAAAAAGAAGATTCATTTATTTTATAATATTTAGATCGACAAATTCGATAGATTATGGGTTCTGGACTCAGGTCTTGTCAATAATCAACCCATGTGCTCTCCAAAATTGGTAACCTTTGATCTGAATACCTCAAAATTGGTTAAGCAAGTCGAGATACCACATAATATTGCCGTAAATGCCACCACAGGAATGGGAGAATTAGTATCACTAGCTGTTCAAGCTATAGATCCTACAAATACTATGGTAAGTTTAAACTAAATGAAAGCAATCAAGTTTCTTTTCTTAGAAATATTTTACTTTTACGTTTAGTTATTTTCCATATAATGGAAATTCTCTATGTGACTAGTAAAATCCATAACTTTCAAAATAATACTTTGTCAAATAATTCTAACACAATGTTATATACTGTTTCATTTTTAAAAAATAAAAGAAAAATTGATTTTGTAGCTTTTTTAATACCCTCTTTAGTAAAAAGATTTCATATGATTTAGATTTTCCTAATCACTAATTTTTGAAATATATTAGCAAAAAATATATGTATTTTTCTTTTAATTCGAACTATTGTTTTCATATATTTATATATTTATATAAATTAATAATCATTTCGAAAGAATTGATTTTAAAGGAAAAAAACACTTTCAAAATTAAAAAGTTACGATTTCCTTTAAAAAAGCTCATTCATGTGTATGCTGATACGTCTTCAGCATATTAAAATTTATAAGATGATATGAAAGTTACAAAATCAAGAAAAAGTTGAAATTTATCGAAAAGTGTTAATTACAAAATAATCATATTGTGATAATAATGATATAATAGGTGTACATAGCAGACGAAAAAGGTCAAGGTTTAATCATCTACCAAAATTCCGACGATTCCTTCCATCGATTGACTTCCAATACTTTCGATTACGATCCCAGATATACCAAACTGACAGTCGCTGGAGAAAGTTTCACAGTGCAAAATGGAATTTGTGGAATTGCACTTAGTCCTGTGACGAACAATCTTTATTACAGTCCTCTCGCTTCTCACGGTTTGTATTACGTTAATACGGAACAATTCAGGAAACCACAATATGGAGAAAATAACGCCCAATATGAAGGGTAAATATAAAAATAATTTTTTAAATTTTATGAAATAGAATAGTTTACTATTAAATAATTTGTTAATATATTCGTGAAATTTCTTTAGAGAATTGATTTTAGAACAGTATTTCAACTTATTTAACTTATTTATCGTGACCAATATAATTTTAATTATTTTTTAATTTCGACTCCTCCTCCCTATTTAAATTGTTCCCTATAAAATGTTCTCAAGTTAAGAAACACTCTTAAAACAGAACGGAAATAGAACTCTATCACTATCACACTATCACTTCACTTCAAATTTAAATTCCTTATAATTTAATAAAACAATATTAACATTTGTTATAGAATCGACTCCAGAAACTGTTCCAGTTATGTTCCACAGTATCTTGTAAATTCTTGGTTGATAATTGCATATTCCTTATTAATTTCAGATCTCAAAATATTTTGGGCACTCAATCATTCGCTAAAGTAGTATCGAGAAATGGCGTCCTTTTCTACGGACTCGTGGGTAATTCAGGTCTTGGTTGCGTGAATGAGCATCAAGTACTTCAGAGAGAAAGTTTTGTTAGTAATTTTTTAATTTTTCTTCTTCTTCTTACACTTTTCTATCATATTTTCTTAGTTTCACATTTCTTCTACATGTCACTATCATTAATACTAAATGTAACTTTCCGCACGAGAACAAAACATTCAACTGTTAGATTTGCCAGAAATGCGAATCACGTGATATAACGCTTGTTTTTGGTGGGAGATCACGTGACGTATAACAAAGTAGGGATAATATAACACTATTTATTCTTTTCATGCAGAAATTTGGTGTTTAGCGGAAATAATGTAGAAACAAATTTGTTTCTTGATTTATATAAGTACATCTTCTTATAAATTAATAATGTTTTTATTCGATTTTATTTCTTCCTTCCTATTTTCTTTAAATAAATAGCCTGCTACTTAATTTTTTTCATAAAACTATATTTATATTAATATAATATATATTTATATTAATTATCTTTTAATCAGTCAATTGAAATGTATGATTTTGAATTGATTAAAATTGTGCAAATTTTTAGTTAAATTAAGTAAGAGATATTTTGATTTGATCAATTCGATAGTCAGATTAAAAGTTACTTAATATAAATGTGATTCTTTGTTATATAAGAAAGTTATAATATTTAAGTATAATATTTAAAGTTAACAATATTTAAATAATCGAATTTATATAATTTAATTTTTTCATAGCAATAAATGTTTCTTAAAAAAGATATAAATAAAAATGTAATTATTTTGAAATTACAGGATGTTGTCGCTCAGAACGAAGAGACACTTCAAATGATCGTTAGTATGAAAATCATACAAGATTTCCCACAATTCAGAATTAAGGAACTAAGGAATGAATATATGTTGGCCTTAAGTAACAGAATGCAAAAAATAATAAACAATGATTTTAATTTCAACGAAGTAAATTTCCGAATTTTGGGTGCGAATGTAAATGACTTAATAAGAAACACTCGTTGCGAAAAACCTACTAATCAGAATGCTAACAATCAGAATGATAACAATCAGAATGCTAACAATCAGAATGCTAACAATCAGAATGCTAACAATCAGAATGCTAACAATCAGAATGATGCTAACAAGCAGAATGGTCACCAGCAGAATGGTAACTACCAGAATGATAACAAGCAAAATGTTAACAGGCAGAATGCTAACAGGCAGAATGGTAACAAGCAAAATGATAACAGGCAGAATGATAACAGACAGAATGATAACAGACAGAATGATAACAGGCAGAATGATAACAGGCAGAATGATAACAGACAGAATGATAACAGGCAGAATGATAACAGGCAGAATGATGACAGGCAGAATGATAACAGGCAGAATGATAACAGGCAGAATGATAACAGGCAGAATGATAACAGACAGAATGATAACAGACAGAATGATAACAGGCAAAATGATAACAAGCAGAATGCTAACAGGCAAAATGGCAACAAGCAGAATGATAATAATCCGAATGATAATAATCAAAATGATAATCAAGTTCGTCATTCTTCAAAATCACATTAAATCAATTAATTATCAATTAAAATCAATTAATTAGGATGTAAACCAAATTATTTTTTAAAATATTTTTTCGATGTAAACAAAATTTTTTAAAATCTTTTTACATTATATTATAAATTTATATTATAAATAAAATTAAATAAATATCATTTTCGCATAATATTTTTCAATTTTATTACCCTACTTTTAAAAATTATATTAATATAGAAATTAACCTTATACTTATATTTCTAACATTATATTTAATATAAATGAGTGAATGTAATGTATCGTGAAATAACAGATGAAATAATATGTAAAAGTTAAATAAAACAATTTGAAGAAAATGATTTGTAATATGGAACATGGAAAAAAATTTTATTATTTAAAATAAAAAATACTTCATCGTTTTAAACAACATTATTCCTAATTATTTATATGAAGATACATTTTATTGATTTCACATTTAATCTGAATTCTCTTTGGCAATTATCCTACTATTAATATAATAATAATGTATAATAATAATGTATTTTAATAATTGTTGCTTGAACAAAAATAGAAAAGAAATATTAAAAAAGAAATATCATTAGAAAATTTTGAGTTTTCTTTTATATTATATACTTTAACGATTTATTATTCACGATTGAGATTATTAATTATCAATGAGCAGATATTCTTTCTGCTATTAAAAGTAGCCAAAGTCAAGCATCATATCGTGTCATATAACGTGTCTCTGCTTATAATATACCAATGATAGTGAGAATAATGTGATATCATATATTCTTCTACCATTTAAATTTATCGCAAAGAGAACTGAGCTAGTTTTAATAGTAGAGAAAATAGGATACTGAATATAGGTAGAAAAAATAATATTTTCAAAATTATAAACAGTTTTGATTGGATTAACATTAAATTAAAATTGTATTATATTTCAATATCAAAGAAATGCTTTAACAAAAAATAAAAAATTATTTATAATCTATAAATGATTATTTTTTTTAATCCATGATTATTACTCGTTTTATTTGTTATCAAATATTCTAGATTTGAATAATTTAGATCAAGCATTAATATAGAATGCGTTAATATATGGAACTTAAAAAACTCTTAAAAAATCGATTCTTCGGATTAAAATAAATATAAAAATATATTAGTTATTTATTAAGTCATAAGGAATTTGAATTTCCATTAAATGAAAAAATATAAGTAGAATAAAATAATCTGTCTTTGTCACACGATCGTTTCATTTTATCTGTAATCCAATTAACATTAAATTATTTATAATATAATAAATAAGCTTCAACACTTTTATATATTGCAATTTTTGTTTTTTTTTATTTTTAAATCGATTCTCCAAAAATATCATTTACATCTCTGTACGACAGATGTATACAATAGACTTTCTTTTATTTTTATTTTTATTTTTATTTATATTTATATTTATTTTTATTATTATTTTATGTTTTATATTATTATTTTATTTATTTATATTTTTATTTTTATATTCGCTGTTATTAAATTATTGTATCTTCAAATATTCTTTTTTTTTTCTTTTTTAATAATTTCTAATTCCTATGTGTTAAGTAAAATCATCTATATTTACAATTTTATAGATATTTTTTCGTAATTGATCGATATTAAATTGATCAAGAGCATGATTGAATAATTAAAATTTGTTATCAATTCGGTTATGAAATCAAAAATTCATTTAAATATAAATTTTTCAATTTTAAAAATTTAAATGCTAAAGGTACGTAAAAATTTATGCATTGAGATTAAATTAACAAGTTTCTATCGCCATTTAAATAAAAATATTTTCGTTATATTAGTTTTACACAATATGAAAAATAAAGAAAAAGATTAGAAATGTATATTAATCATTTTTCTGAGATAGTAAACTTGAGATAAGAAATATAGTGATATTAGAATAATCATTAGCAATATAATTATTTATTTATCTATTTTAAAATTTTTTTAATTATTTGTTACTTTTTCTTTTTTACTTTTCAATTAAACGAATTTAATTGAATATTTTTTCAAACATAAAAAGCCATATTTTGATTATTTTTCATGAAAATTAAATGCAAGAAAATTAATATTTATATGAGAAATAGTAACAAATATATTAAATCATCGAATCAATTATATTAGCAAATATTTAATGGAAAGAAAAATAAATAAAATTAATATAATTATGAAATTGCAAAATATCATTATAAATGAGACTTTCAAGTTATTAATGGTTTAAATATCAAAGAATCAGTTTTACTAATTTTCATACTTAACTCTATGTGAATATGTGCTGCTTTTAAGTAACAAATATCAAAAAATATCAAATGGCAATTTAAATCTCGATAACTTGAACTTCTGAATTTTAAATAATACATATCGATACATCAGTATTCTCATTATATCAGATCAATCTGCAAAAGAAATTAAATTTTTGGATTTTTAGATTTGCACCAACTTTTTTTTAAAATTACAATAATTTCTAAATAAATTAAATAAACATAACATTTTTCAATATAATTATTCCAATTTTTAAAAAATTACGCTACATATTTTTTTTTTAGAATTAATCATTATCTTGATTAACATTTTTCCAGAACTATAGATGAAGCAAGATACAAACAAAAAAATAGTGCGACACAGTAGATAAACAAAATTTTGTAAAATTTTTACTTAAACAATATTTTTTTAAGAAATATAAATTATAACCTGTCACATTCTAATTCTTTACAACATATCTACAAAATAAACAAGATAATTTCAAAAAAATTTAAAATACAATTTACTTTATCTCTATAAACTATACGTCATTACCACCTATATATTTGGCCGATCGTTGGTCAAAATTCAACAGCTCCTGCAGTTCACGTACAATCTCCATTGCTTCGTTACTCATAGCCTAGGTAAGTGTTTCCAATATCTCAATTGTAATATTTGTATACGAAACATTTTATTATTTTCTGACAAGAAGAAATATTTTGTAGAAAAATGACAAGGTGGTTGTTTATGGTGGTATGCCTTGGCATAGTTTGTCAAGGTACGACAGGCAGCATTCTTCGAAGTGAATCTTTAAATAAATCGTTACCCGTCCTTCACGAATGGAAATTCTTTGATTATGATTTCGGTAGCAATGAAAGAAGAGAAAATGCAATTCTATCTGGCGAATACGACTATACGAAAAATTATCCATCCGACGTTGATGAATGGCATGGTAAATTATATCATAAAATATTTTAATATTGCATTTTATTTTTACCAAAATTCTTAATATCCAATAATTATAATTTAAAGAAATATTAAACATTTTTCATTTCTTATTCAAGGTAAGATTTTTGTCTCCATGCTAAGATATAATGGCGTACCTTCTTCTTTGAACGTGATATCTAAAAAGATCGGTAAGGGTGGACCTCTTCTACAACCTTATCCCGATTGGTCGTTTGCTAAGTATGACGATTGCTCTGGAATCGTGAGCGCTTCCCAACTTGCGGTAATTGAACATTGTCTTCACAATTCTATGATTATCTTAACAATTAATTTTCCAAAGAAAAAGAAAATTCATTTGTTATGTGATATTTAGATTGACAAATGCGACAGATTGTGGGTTCTGGACTCAGGTCTTGTCGATAATACTCAACCCATGTGTTCTCCAAAACTGGTCACCTTTGATCTAACTACCTCGAAATTGCTCAAGCAAGTTGAAATACCGCATAATGTTGCCGTAAATACCACCACAGGAAAGGGAAGACTATCATCTTTAGCTGTTCAACCTTTAGATTGCAATATAAATGGCGATACTATGGTAAGTTTATAAATTATACAAGTAAGCAACTTTCTTTTCTTGGAAATTTTTCATTTCACTTTTGTGTTATTTTCTAGTAAGTAATTAATAATTCATATGGAAGTATAGTTTTAAATTAGAAAAGTAATATTGTAAAATAATGAAACTTTTAAAATAGTATTTTTTTAAATAATTCTATCTGAAATTTAAGAGAAAGAATTAGAATGTTTTTTATATACTACTTTGCTTTTATATAAAAAAAAAATGATTTTGTAGTTTTCTTTGATGCTTTCTTTGGCAGAAAGATGTAATCTTTCTCTCTATATATATGATATTAGATTTTTCGATAAATCATTAGTTTTTGAAACTAAAATTGAAAAATATTAACAAAAATAAATGTATTTTCGATGTTTTTTTATTTAAATATATTTATGATTATATATTGATATTTCGTTCAAAAGAATTAATTTCAACAAGCAATATTAATGAATATTCCAAAGATATAAAATATTTCCAAAATCGAAAAATTACAATTTTTTGAGAAAAATAGACTGCATTCTTTTCAACGCATTAAGATTTATAAAAAAAACATCTATGAAAGTTACAAAATCAAAAAAAAGTTGAAATTTATAAATAACGTTATTAATTACAATATAATCATACCATGATAATGATGATACAACAGGTGTATATAGCAGATGAGAAAGGAGAAGGTTTAATCGTGTATCATAATTCTGATGATTCTTTCCATCGATTGACTTCCGACACTTTCGATTACGATCCTAAATTTACCAAAATGACGATTAATGGAGAAAGTTTCACAATGCAAGATGGAATTTCTGGAATGGCTCTTAGTCCCTTGACTAACAATCTCTATTACAGTCCTGTAGCTTCTACCAGTCTGTATTATGTTAACACGGAACAATTCAAAACATCCAATTATCAGAAGAATGGCGTACATTACGAAGGGTAAATATAAAATTAAGTTTACTTTTAAATAGAGTGTTACTATATTCAGTGGAGAAATGATTCTAAAATTTAATATTTCCCAATTTGTGTGAATCATAACTATAATATAATTTTAAGTATTTCTAATTAAAAATATTAAAATATTGAAACATTGTTAAATGAAACAAAGCTGAAAATATAGAATTGTGTTTTTACTAATGCAAATTTAAATTACTTACAATTTAATAAATAAAACTTGAAGTTATTATACAATACAATATTTCCTGTAGTTTTTAGAATCAATATCACAGATATGTTGCATTTTTTTATTTAATTCCACATTTTTTACTAATTCCAGAGCCCAAAATATTTTGGATACCCAATCGTCTGCTAAAGTAGTATCGAAAAATGGCGTTCTCTTCTTTGGACTGGTGGGCGATTCAGCTCTTGGCTGCTGGAACGAACATCGATCACTTGAAAGACATAATATCGTTAGTACTGCAAATATTTTTTATTTTTTGTCATATTTTCTTGTCACATTTCTTTTACATGCTACTAAACATGACTTCTCATATGAGAACAAAACATCTACTACTAGATTTTACAGAGAAACAAGTCACGTGATATGATGTAACGTTTGCTTTGATCACGTGACGTACCTCTGTATAGTATAGTGGGGATAATGTGAATTATTTTTCAATTCATGCAGGAATCTAGTGTAATGTTAGTAGTAAAAGAAGAAATGTCTTTATATTAGTACGTCTTTTCTCTTATATATATATATTAATAATATTTTCGTTTTCATTTTCTAAAATTATGTTTATAGTAATTATATTTTAATCGTCCAATCGAAATGTTGAACAATTATTTTGAATTGATTAGAATTTGCATTTTTGGTTAAATTAATAAGAAATATTTCGATTTGATCGAAATTCGATAATTGGATTAAAAATTATTTAATATGAATGCGGTTTTAGAATTTCTGTAAATTGGGTTGACAATATATATTTTTTATAAAAGAATATAAATAATAAGAAAACTATTTTGAAATTACAGCGTACTGTCGCTCAGAATGATGAGACACTTCAAATGATCGTTGGCATGAAGATTAAGGAAGCGCTTCCACATGTGCCTATATTCAATAGGTATATAAACAGTGAATACATATTAGTTTTAAGTAACAGAATGCAAAAAATGGTGAATAATGACTTTAACTTCGATGATGTAAACTTCAGAATTATGAACGCAAATGTAAACGATTTGATACTGAACACTCGTTGCGAAAATGCTAATAATGATCAAACACCTTTCAAAATTTCAATACATTTGTAAAATTTGTCTTTCTCGATATGTATTAAATATTTTTCGAAATTTCTTTTCATTATGAATGTATAAAATAAATATTATTTTCGCATAATATTTTTCAATTTTATTACTACCTACCTTTTAAAAATTATAACCATATAAAAATTAATACTTGTATTTATATTATATTATATTCGATATGAATGAGCGATTGAATATAATATTGCGAATTAAATTCAAATAATTTAAAAATACAGTAATAGTGTAATTGATAATGAAACATCAAATCTGAAAAAAAATTGAATCACATTACATTTCTAACCAGTCTAATAACACTTTTTCCAAATTTTATATAACAATTATAATAATTTTAAATACAATTATAATTTTAAAATATTTCATCAATTTTTAAAAAATTGTTTTATCAGTATTTCATTCTTGGCTGTTTTTTTCTTTCTCTTCATTTAGTTTACTAGAACGTAAACATAATGAGAAAGAGAAAAAGATTTCTTATGAGTAAAATAAAAAAAAGAAAAATAGAAAAAAAAATTTTTTCTTCTATATTATGTATTTTGATTAACACTTTGTTTATCACTCATGATTAAGATTATCATTTGTTAATGAAGAATTGCCAAATATATAAATATCCTATACAACTATTTCTCCATTATTAAAAATGGCAAAAACTAAATCATATCACATTTGACTTGCTTCTATTAATGTAAAAGTGGAGATAATGATTTAGTGACTTAGTGTATTTTCCAAATTTGTTAAAGAGAGAAATTAAGCTAATTTCAATGGTAGATTTATAGAATATATTTTGAAGTAGAAAAATTAATATTTTCAAAATTATAAGCAATAAAAAACAAATTTTGATATAATTGTTAAAATTTATTTTATACCTCCTTAACTAAAAAACTATTTACAGTTTATTAATGATTATTAGTATTCTTTTTATGATTCTTTTAATGATATTCTTTTAATTATATTCTTTGAATGATATTCTTAATATTAGTATTTTTTTTATTTATTGAATATTATTTAGATAAAGCATTGATATAGAATATATTCATGGAACTTTTAAAGATTCAAAAAAAAGTCAATATGATGGTCAATATTTATTTATAAAGTTATAAAGAATTTGAGTTTGTTAAATAATTAAATAAAAATATACATATATATTTCACTTTCTTTCCATAATCAAACATTAAATTGTTTATTACTTAATAAATAAACTTTAATATTTTTATAAACATCGACTTTTATTTCTTTTGAAACTTTAAATCAACTCTCTATATTAATACTGTTCATATATTGTATAACAAATGTACATAGATACGTAGATTATTAACAATTCTGAGAATTCCTTTCAATATTTTTATATATGATATATTTCTGGATCATGAAGAAAATTTTCCAAAAAAATATGGAATTTTGGATTATATTTAAACAATGGAACTTGTAGAATTACAAGATCAAAAAAACAATTTACAATATTAGTAAATATGATAATAATTTATTTTTAATTCAAAGACCAGAATATTTTTCGGTTCAAAAAAACATTAAAGCGATGTTTAAAATTAATATTATTTTTTTTTTATGGATTTATAAATAATATTTTCACTATATAGCTGGAATATGTATCGATTATTGATAAAAGAGAATATATATTATTAATTAACAAATATTTTCTATATATATATTTTTTTCTTTTTTAATAATTCTACAATTTTTGTGTGCTGTACGAAACTATTTATATTAGACATTTTTTCGAAATGATCGATGTTAAATTAATAAAAATCATGAATAATAAAAGTTCTTCCAATTTCAACAGTTCGATCATTAAAAATTAAATAATACTTAAATTTTTCAATGTTAAAAATTTAAGCTCCTTTTTAATTTAAGCACACATAAAAATTCATACAAATTTTAATTAACACCGCCAAATTTCTTACACCGCCATTTAAAAAAAAATTTTTTTTGATTATATTAATTTTACACAATATGATAAAAATGTAGAAAAAGATAAGAAATGTTAATCAATTTTGTCAAATACAAATAAGTTTCATGAAAATTAATGTTGTAATTACAGTTACAAGTGATAGTAGATGACTAGCGTCACGTGATTATTAATTAGTAATATATTTAATCTATATTATAACTAACATAACTATTTATATATTTTTGAATTTCTTTAATTATTTCTTTTTTACTTTACAAATAATCTAAAAATATTATAATTTTTCTATAAATATAAAAAAATACAGTATTTTGATCGTCGCATAAAAATTAAACACGCGCATTTATGTCACGTATAATAGCAAACATGTTAAGTCATCGAATTGACCATTAACATTTGATAGAAATAATATTTGATGGGAAGAAAGATAAATAAAATTAAAATATTTGTGAAATTACAAAATATGATTCTTCAAGATATTAGTAGTTTTAATTTAACATTAAGAAAATTTTTTTTCTTTATTAATTTTTTGTATTTGCTCATTATATATAAATATGTGCTGGTCATAAATAACAAATATGAAAAAGTATCAAATGCCAATTTAAGTTCCGATCGAACTTTCGAATTTTGAATGTATATACAGAATACATCATTATATAAGATCAATCTACATAACAAATCATCAAATTCTTTATAATATTCTCTTGGGCTATATCTATATTAATCTTGTCTAAATTGTTAATTTCTAAATGAATTAAATAAGCTTCATTTTACATTCTTCTTTAATTAGATTATTTTTAAACAATTACTTTTCACACTTTCTCTTAGAACTAAATATCCCCATTAATAATTCCTTCGAATTATAAAGATATATATCTGGTTGACAGAACAGGCAAAACAAAATTTTGTAAAATTTTTAAACTATTTTTCTAAGGAATATATAAATCATTTCACCTGTCACATTGTAATCCTTTAAAAAATATATATATATATATCTATAATGAGATAATGAGAATATCGAAAATTCAAAAAAAAAAAAATTTTTTTCTTTATCTCCATGAAACACGCATCATTATCGTATATATATATTGACCAAGTGTTACTCAAAATTCTTGCAGTTTGCGTACATACTTTGTCACTTGTAAAATATTTATAGTATCCTAGGTAAGTATTGCCTCATTGTAATATTTCCTTGCAATTTTTCATTTCATCTGACAAGACGAAATATTTTCTAGAAAAAAATGACAAAGTTGTTGTTGTTGGTGGCATGCCTTGGCATAGCTTGTCAAAATATCAGAGGCGCCGTTGTTCGAGAAAATTCCTCGAGAAAAAACTTGACAAATACATTGAACGTGATTTACGAATGGAAACACATTGATTATGATTTCGGTAGCGACGAAAGAAGACAAACTGCGATTGAATCTGGCGAATATGATCGTACGAAAAATTATCCTTCCGACGTTGATCAATGGCATGGTAAAATATTTTAAATTAATACCACTATATCAAATAATTTAATATTCTAATTTTATATTTCCTAATATTTTTATATTATTATATATATATATTATATATAATAATATAATATATTTCATGTTTTGTATTTTTCGTTCAAGATAAGACTTTTGTCACTATGTTAAGATACAATGGTGTGCCTTCCTCTTTGAACGTGGTATCTGACAAAACTGGCAACGGTGGACCGCTTCTACAACCTTATCCCGATTGGTCATTTGCTAAGTATGAAGATTGTTCTGGAATCGTGAGCGCCCATAAAATTGCTGTATGATTATTTTTTCAAAATTAATTTTTCTTTCGAGAGAAAAGAAACTCGTATTGTATTGTATTGTATTGTATGATACTTAGATCGACGAATATGAGAGATTGTGGGTTCTGGACTCGGGTCTTGTCAATGATCAATCCATGTGCTCCCCGAAATTGCTTGCCTTCAATCTGAATACTTCACAATTGCTTAAACAAGTCGAAATACCGCATAATGTTGCCGTAAATACTATCACAGGAAAGGGTAGATTAGTATCTTTAACTGTTCAAGCTATGGATTCTGTAAATACTACGGTGAGTTTAAATTATAAAAGTAATTAAAAATTTTCATTTTCTTGGAAATTTTTTAAATTATTTTTTTTTTGTATTATTTTTTATATAATGAAAATTCTTTATATGATTTTAAATTAGAGATAATAATATTGTAATATAGTATATACTGCAAATAAAATTGTAAATAAAATTTATAATTTTAAAAATAGTAAAATAATTCTTGAACATAGATCAAAGAATTGAAATTTACAATATTATATATTATTTGTAAAAAAAAAAAGAATAATTTTGTAGCTTTCTTTGATGTTTTTCATTAGTAGAAAGATCTATCACGTTAAATTAGATTTTCTTTTAAATCATTAATTTTTGAAATAAATTGAAAAATATTAACAAAAATGAATATATTTTCGATATTCTTTTAATTTGGATCATTAACATTTTAAATATTTATAATTTGATAAACTTATATCATTTTATTCAAGAGAGATCGTTTTTTATCAAAAACAACTGAATAATTACTATTCTAATAAGTATAAAATATTTTTAGAATTGAAAAAATATAATTTTTATTCTGGAAAAATAATCTACAGATTTGCATTCAACATTAAGATTTATAAGAAACACTTAAAATTACACACTGAAAATTACAAAACTAAAACAGTTAAGTTAAAATCATTAACATATTATTATAATTTATTATAATAAATTATTATAATATTATAATTTATTATAGTATGGTAATAATACAACAGGTGTACATGGCAGACAACGGAGATGATGCTTTAATCGTCTACCAAAATGCCGATGATTCCTTCCATCGATTGTCTTCCCACAATCACAACTCTAGATCTGACAAAATATCGCAAGAAAATCTCACTTTGCAAGAGGTAGACAACAGAGTTTCTGGAATGGCACTTAGTCCCGTGACGAATAATCTTTATTACAGTCATCTCTCTTCTCAGAATTTGTATTATGTTAACACAGAATCATTAATGAATTCGCAAAATCAAGGAAATGACGTGCAATATGAAAGGTAAATACAAAAATAAAGTTTGTTCTGAAATAGAATAGTTCGTTATTATATATAGTGTATTTATATGGAAATTTGTTTCGAGGATTGATTTTAAAATAATGTTTCTTGATTTATGAATCGTGATATATAATTTTTAAATATTTTTTAAATAGCACATCTTCCTCAAAATATTCGATTTTTTTTTTTATGAAACGTTTTCAATGTTGAGAAACACTATTAAATGAGATAGAAATAATCTCTATCTCTGTCACAATGCTATTTATTTCTCTATTCAATGCAAATTTAAATTGCTTATTATTAATAAAAAAATAAATCTAAACATTGAAATAAATCTAAAAATCAATACTTTAGATAAGTTCCAGAATATCTTGTACATTTTCATTTAATTTCATTTTTTATTAATTTCAGAGTCCAAGACATTTTCAACAGTCAATTATCCGTTAAAGCAGTATCGAAAAATGGCGTACTCCTTTTCGGATTCGCGAATAATACACTTGGTTGCTGGAACGAACATCAGTCACTTGACAGACAAAATATCGTTAGTAATATTGCGAATATTTTTTCTTATCGCGAATTATCTTATATTTTTCTTATTTCGAATCTTCTTTTTTTTCTTTTTTTTTTTTTTTTTTTTTTTTTTTTTTTTTTTTTTTTTTTTTTTTTTTTTCTATATTTTTTTGACACATTTCTTTTTACCAGATAATACTGCCATATTAATAAACATGAATTTCGACATGAAAATATATATATAACGTCATATTATCCCTACTGCTACATTTGGCAGAAACACGAGTCATGTGACTCGAGTCATGTGATGTATCCTTATACCAATAGTAGTGGGGATAATGAAACTTCACTTATTCTTTTCATACAAAAATCTCAAATACGATGTTTAGTAATGTACAAACAAATTTCTCTATAGATTTATAAAACGAATCTTTTCCTTTGTGTAAATTAATAATGCTTTCGTTTTTCATTTAATTTTTTTTTAATTGATTAATCAAAATGTATAAAATTTTTGTCAAAAAGTTATAGATACGTTATTAAATAATCGAATTTATTTAATCATTTATATTTTTACATGGAAACAAATGTTTCTTAGAAAGAAATTTTATTTTAGATAAAAATGAAAGCATTTTGAAATTACAGGATGTTGTAGCTCAGAATGAGACGCTTCAAATGATCGTTAGTATGAAGGTTAAGCAAAATCCTCCACAATCTGGCAGGATAAATAATACGCAAAGAAATGAATATTTGTTGGTTTTAAGCAACAGAATGCAGAACATGCTAAACAATAATCTTAATCTCGAACACATGAACTTCCGAATTTTGGGCACTAATGTAAACGACTTAATACGGAATAGTCGTTGTGCAAATTCTGACAATCAGGATAATAATCAACATAATCGTAATCATAATCAAGCTCGTCATTCTTCAAAATCTGACAATCAGGATAACAATCACAATAACAATCAAGCTCATCATTCTTCAAAATCTGATAATCAGAATAACAATCAATATAACAATTAAATTCATCATTCTTTAAAATCATATTAAAATCTGTTAATTAATTTTTTCTCGATGTAAGTCAAATATTTTAAAAAATTTCATTACATTATAAAATGAATAAAATAAATATCGTTTTTCGCATAATAACTTTCACTTTTATTGTCCTAATTTTATAAAAATTACAATAATTGAACGAGTAAATATTAGTAATAATAGAAGTAACAATAATTTAAAGAGTTAAATAAAACAATTTGAAATAGTTGAATAATAGGATATCAAACGTGAAAGAATTATTTAAAATAAGAGTTATTTCATTGGTTTTAACGCTTTTGCAAAATGTCAAGATTATCGATTTCACATTTAATATAAACTTGACTCTTATAGTTATTCTAGCATTAATATATTCTGATTATTAACTGACTAGAATGGAACAAAAATATTCGAATTTTCTTTTATGCAGATGTTTCTTGTATTGCTAAAAGCAGCCAAGGTCAAATATATTGTCACATGATGTGCTTTTGTAACATAATAGTGCCAGAGTGGATAATATGACATCACAGTTTTTTCTATACTAGAAATTTTTTTCAGAAGAAAATAAGCCAGTTTTAATGATAGAAACACATTGAATATGGATTGGAAAATTAATATTTTATAAATTATAAGCAATTTTGTGTTTGGATTAAACACATTAAACAAATTTTGCACAATTTTTTCTAAATATTTTACCACTTCATTTCAAAGAAGTGTTTCAATAAAAATAAAATGTATATGATTAATTTCTTAACCCACTCTTTTACTTGATAAATCTGAACAAAGATGAAACATTAATTGCAGGCAGAATCAATATTTTCATGGAACCCAAAAAAAATGCGAAAATTAATGTGATGATCAAGGTTTATTTATTAAATTATTTTGTGTTTGGAATTTGGAGTTTACAAATGAAGATAAAAATAGATTGAAATAAGCTTTGTCTCTATCACATCTTATCATTTTCTTCGTATAATCTAACATTAAATTATTTGTATTTTGGTAAGTAAACTTCAATCGATATTAACTTTTATATGATTCTTTTACCTTTTAAATCAACCCTTCGAAGATATTTTAAAAATGTATTAACTCTTTTTATATTTTTGTATAACAGGTGTTAGTTGACAACATAGATTACGCATTAATCATTTACATCAATTTCGATTTGGAATATGTTCAATTATAATCTGGAACATGATATAGTCACAATTGGCGAAAACAATTTTTCAAAAAAATATGAAATTTGGGATTATTTAAAAACAGTGGAGCTTACAGAATTATAAGATCAAATCAACAATCTACAATATCAGTAAATACGATAATTTATTTTTAATTCAAAAGCCAAAATATTTTATGACTCAAAGGAAGAGTGTCTTGAATTATCATTGTTTTTTTCGAATTTATAAATGATTGTTGAAATGAAAATTGACTATAGACAGGAGAGGATATCGTTATTGACTAAAAATATTTTCTAGACTTCTTTTTTTTTTTTCATTAACAATTCGGTCATCAAAAATTAAATTGCATTAAAATTTTTCATTTTAAAAAATTTAAGTTTTTCTAAAGATATGCATAAAAATTATGCATTTAATAATAAACATGTTTCTATCACCATTTATAAAAAAATATTTTACTTATTATTATTAAATTTATGCGATGAGATAAAAATATAGAAAAAGATTAGAAGTGTTAATTAATTTTGACGAATACAAACAAGCTTTGTGAAAATTAATGTTATAAACATGTTATAAGTCATAGTGACATTATTAGCTAGTAATATATATCCAATATAATCATTTATTTTATTTATATCATTTATTTATTCACTTTTTACTTTCATAAATTATTTGTTACTTTTTTTTATTTGTTTCAAATAATAGAATTGTTATATTTTTCTACAAACATAAAAAAACATATTTTGATCTTCACGCGAAAATTAAATAAACATGTTTGTAACATGTATAGTCATGTATAGTAATAAATATTTTAAATTATCGAATCGATTAAATCAATAAATGTTTGATGAAGAAAGAAAAATAAAATTATAATAAATTAAAATAATTAAAAAATTGTAGGATCACCAATAAAAAGACTTTATAAATTATTAACGATTTGAAACTCAAAATTTTATTAATTTTCATATTTGCTTATAAAAAACATGTTCTTTCAAATTTTGAATTCGGATGTGAATACACATTGATAGAATACACTGGTTGCATCCAAATTAACATGCAAATAATATCAACAAATTTAACAACATAATCAACAAATTTATTTTAATTCTATTTCATCTCTTGTGTTCTATATATATATCAACTATATGTCTAAATTACATTAATTTCTAAATAAATTATATAAATACTATGATACATAAAATTTTTTGAAGTAATGAAAAATTATTTTTCATGAACATTTGTCTTAGAAGCAATTATTATCTTGATTAATAGTTTTCTAAAACTATGCAAGAAACAGAAATACAAGCAAAGAATAACAATTGTGTGACACAATAAATAAACGAAATTCTATAAAGTTCCTATTTAAATTATTTCTTTCTAAGGGACTATAAATTACAACTTATCGCATTTTTTAAAAAAATATTTACAACAAAATAAAGAAAAAATTTAAAAATATAATTTACTTTATCGCTGTGAAGTATACGTCAATATCTATATATATTGACCGACCGTCAATCAAAATTCAACAGGTATATTCTGCCTTCCCTTAAAATTATCACTCATAAAATATTTGCAGCATCCTACGTAAGTGTTTCCATATATCTTAATTATATTTATTTGCAATCTTTCATTTGTCTAACACGATGAAATATTTTATAGAAAAATGACAAACTGGTTACTATTGATAGTGTGTCTTGGCATAGCTTGTCAAAGTATCACAGGCGCCGTTGTTCGAGAAAATTCCTCGAGAAAAAACTTGACAAATTCGATGAACGTGATTTACGAATGGAAGTATCTTGAATATGATTTCAGTAACGCGATTCAATCTGGCGAATATGACCATACGAAAAATTATCCTTTCGATATCGATCAATGGCATGGTAAAATATTCGCATTTCATTTAATATTATATTTTACTTATCAAATCAATTTAATATTCAATTATTTTTGTCATTCAAATTTTTTTATTTTTGTATCGTTAAGAAATATCAAACGTTTTGCATTTCTTCAAGATAAGATTTTTGTCGCCGTACCAAGATTTAAAGGTGTACCTTCCTCTTTAAATATGATATCTGACAAAATTGGCAACGGTGGACGCCTTCTACAACCGTATCCTGATTGGTCGTGGGCGAACTATAAAGATTGCTCTGGAATCGTGAGCACTTACAAAATTGCGGTAATTGAAACTTTTTCTATGAATATTTTCAGAATTAAATTTTCTTTTGAAAGAAAAAAAATTCATTTATTGGATGATGTTTAGATCGACAAATTTGACAGATTGTGGGTTCTGGATTCAGGTCTTATTAATAATATTCAACTTATGTGTTCTCCAAAATTGCTTGCCTTTGATCTCAATACCTCACAGTTGCTTAAGCAAATCGAGATACCATACGATATTGCCGTAAATGCCAGCATAGGAATGGGAGGACTCGTATCACTAGTTGTTCAAGCTATGGATCCTATGAATACTATGGTGAGTTTATTATAAAAAACTATAAAAATAATCTTCATTTTTTTGGAAATTTTTTATTTTTCTTTTATGTTTGTTTATTTCTTATATAATAATATCTGAAAAAAATATCTATGTAGCTTTAAATAAAAAGATAATAATATTGTAGTATGATAAAAATAAAATTCATAATTTTTGAAATGATGAAATAATTTTTAAATTTAAATCAAAAAATTAAAATTTATATATATTTCGTTTATATATATATATATAAGTGATTTGGTAGCTTTTTTTGATTTTTTTTTTTTCTTTAGCAGGAAAATCTATCACAAAACATTTTTGTGAATCACTAATTTTTAAAAGATCTTAGTAAAAATGTATATATTTTTAATTTTTTAACTTTTAATAGCAATTGTTATTAAATTCTAAATAGCATTTTTGGAGAAATCATTTCCAATCGATAACAATTGAATAACTGTGGTTCTAAAAGTATAAAATACTTTTAAAATTGAAAAATTAATTTTTCTTCAAAAACTGTATATTCTGGAGAAAATGATCTACAGATTCACATTCAACACATTGAAATTAATAAGAAGAATCTATTGAAAGTTACAAAATCAAAAAAAAAAAGTCAAATAAATCAAAAAAGTCAATAAAAAAAAAATCTATCGAAAAATATTATTACTTATAATATAATAATGATTGCAACAGGTGTATATAGCAGACGACAGAGGTAACGCTTTAATCGTCTATCAAAATTCCGATGATTCCTTCCATCGATTGACTTCCAACACTTTTGATAACGATCCCAGATATTCTGAACTGACGGTCGCGGGAGAAAGTTTCACAGTGCATGATGGAATTTTTGGAATGGCACTTAGTCCCGTGACGAACAATCTTTATTACAGTCCTCTCACTTCTCATAGTTTGTATTATGTTAACACGGAACCATTCATGAAATCGCAATATGAAGAAAATAATATACAATATGAAGGGTAAATATAAAAATAATTTTTAAAATTTCATGAAAGAAAAATAATTCACATTGTTAAATAGTGTGTTAATATATTCGTGAAATTTTTGTGGAAGATTGATCGTAAAGAAGAATATTTGTCAACTTATGAATCATGATTAATATGATTTCGAGTATATTTTAATTAAAAATTTTCAAATTGTTTCTTGTCGAATATACAGTCTTACATTGAGAAACATTGTTAGATGAAACAAAGCAAAGAATATAGAATTCCCTCTCTGTCATATAATGCAAATTTAAATTGCTAATAACTTAATAAACTTAATAAGTTTCATCAATATTTTTATACATCAAAATTAATATCTTTTATCAATGCTTCACATATGTTCCATATCTTGTACATTTTTAATTAATTCTACATTTTTTATTAATTCCAGAATGCAAAATATTTTCAACACTCAATCGTCAGCTAAAGTAATGTCGAAAAATGGCGTCCTTTTCTTCGGACTTGTGAATAATTCAGCTCTTGGTTGTTGGAACGAGCATCAATCACTTCAGAGACAAAATATGGTTAGTAATTTTTTAATCTTTCTTCTTTTCTTGGCACATTTCCAGTTATTATTACTTATTATTTTTTCATATGAGAAGAATATTGAAGAAGAACATGATAATTATAATTTAACAAAGATATGAATTACGTGATTCGACATTATCTTTGATCAAGTAATCATAGTGGAAATAATATGACATCATGTGTTTTCTTTCAATGAAATACTTAATTCTTAGTTTTTTTTTTGTAAAATTATATTTATATTAATTATTTCTTAATCAGAGATGTAATTTTATTGCGCTATGTTTTAATTAAATTCATAAAAATGATTGAATTTAGTCGATACGGTAATCACATCAAAAAATTAATCAATATAAATGTCGTTTTAAAATTTCTATAAACTTGGACGCGAGGAAAGACATATTGACAACACTCAATCAAATAATCGAATTTATATTATTTATGTTTTCAAACAAATGTTTTCTGAAAAGAATTAAAAATAAAAATGAAATTATATTTAAATATTTAAATTTTCTAGAAAAAAATTATAAATAAAAATAAAATTATATTTAAATTGCAGGATATGGTCGCTCAGAATGAAGAGACACTTCAAATGATCATTAGTGTGAAAATTATGCAAAATCTTCCATATTCCGGAAGGATGAATAGAATTCACAAGAATGAATATATATTGGCTTTAAGTAACAGAATGCAGAAAATAGTAAACAATGATTTTAATTTCAACAAAATAAATTTCCGAATTTTGGGTGCGAATGTAAATAATTTAATAAAAAACACTCGTTGTGCAAATTCTGACAATCAGAATGACAGCCAAAATAAACATAAGAATCAAATTCATTAGATCTTTTTTAAGATCATATTAAAATCTATAGATTAACTTTTTCTCGTGGTAAATCAGATATTTTTAAAAATTTATTTGCATTATAAATGAATAAAGTAAATATCGTTTTCGCATGATATCTTTCACTTTTATTGCCCTACCTTTAAAAATTATAATAATATAGAAATTAACGTGTACTTGTGTTTATAAGAGTTCCAATTTCTTATGTTATATTTAATATGAGTATAAGTATAATGTATAACGTATAAGTAAAATATAAGTATATAAAATAAAAGTAGAAATAAAGTAACAGATTAAAAAGTTAAACAAAACAGTAATTGATAAAGGGATATAAAGTGTGAAAAAAAAATAAATTTTATATTATATTTGTATAACATTTTTTCCATATTTTATATAACAATTATTTAGTTACTTTATTAATTTCAATGTTTTTATAATATCGTTTGTGAAAATTATCATTTTGAATAAGTATGATATTAATAAATTACACGAAGATTTCACTAATTTCACATCTAAATCTGATTCTTTGACAATTGATTATTTTTTTCTCAATTTCACTAAATTTATTATTTTCAATTTTATTAAAATAGAATAACATTTCTTATGAGTAAAATAAAAAATATTATTCAAGTTTTCTTTTATGTTTTATGTCGCAGAGGAATTAAGTTAGTTTTAGTGAATAACATATTAAATGTTGATAGAAAAATTAATATTTTTAAAATTATAAGCAATTTTGTATTTAAATTAATATTAAAGATTGTTGCACAATTCTTTTTTACATATTTCACAACTCTCCATAGAAGAAGTACTTCAACAAAAAAAAAATTATTTATAAATTATGTATAATTAATTTTTTAACTCATTTATTGCAATGTTTTTTTCTTTACTTGACGAATTTAAGTAAAGTATTATCTACAGACAGAATTAATATATTCATGGAACATCTTTAAAGAATCGATTTTGGGAATCAAAATATATACAAACGTTAACACAATCGACGAAGAAAATTTTTTTAAAAAATATGAAATTTAGGATTATATAAAAATAATGGAACTTGATGAATTACAAGATCAAAAGAAGAATCCACAATATCAATAAATATAATAATTTATATTTAATTCAGAATATTTTACGATTTAGAAGAGCAATGAATTATATATTTTTGGGATTAAAAAAAAAATGATACATTTGCTGAAATAAAAATCAACTTGACAAGAGAAAATATTGTTATTAATTATAATAAATAATAAATATTCTCTAGACTTCCTTTATATATATATATACAATATATACACAAATATATATTATATATATATATACAATATATATTCGTTAACAATTTAGTCATCAAAAATTAAATTCCATTTAAATTTTTGAATTTAAGATGTGTAAATTTTTCTAAGATCATGCATAAAAATTTATATGTTGAGGTTTAATTAACACGTTTTTATCGTTATTTATAAAAAAATATTTTAGTTATATTAATTTTACACGATATTCTATATAAAAATATAGAAAAAAATTAGAAATGTTAATTAATTTTAACGAATAAGTTTTGTGAAAATTGACGTTATGATTACAGTTGCAAGCGATGATGATCCAGTATAATCACGAAGAATGTTTTTTCAAATTTCAGAAATAAACACACGATGATAGAATATACATCTAAAGTATAATTACATTTAAACTAATCTGCAACAAGAACCATCAAATATTTATATATATTTATATTCCATCTCTTATAGATTATATACTATCTGTTTAAACTGCGTTAATTTTTAAATAAATTAAATAAATATTGTTTTACGTAATATTTTTTAATATAATTTCTATTTTTGAAAAATTATTTTTCATTAGCATTTGTCTTAGAAACAATTATCTCGATTAATAGTTCCCTAGAATTATGCATAAAACAGAGATATAAAAAAAGAAAAACAGCTATGTGACAGAACAGATAAATGAAATCATGTAAAGTTTTTACTTAAATTATTTCTTTAGGAAATATAAATTACAACCTGTCAAATTCTAATCCTTTAAAAAATATTCGCAAGAAAATAAACAATAAATTTGAAAATTTAAAATTACAATTTACTTTACCTCTGTGAAGTACACGTCATTACCGCCTATATATAGACCGATCATTAGTCAAAATTCAACAAATTCTGCAGTTCACATATACTCTGCGTTCTCTTGAAATTGTCGTTTGCAAAATATTTGCAGCATCCAAGGTAAGTATTCCATATGTAATATTTATAAGCAATTTTTTATACAGCTGACAAAACGAAATATTTTGTAGAACAATGACAAGTTGGTTGTTGCTAGTGGTGTGCCTTGGCATAGCTTGTCAAGGTATCACAGGCGCCACTGTTCGAGAAAATTCTTCGAGAAACTTGGCAAATTCGATGAACGTGATTCTCGAATGGAAGTATCTTGATTATGATTTCGGTAGCGACGAAAGAAGACAAGCTGCGATTCAATCTGGCGAATATGACCATACGAAAAATTATCCTTTCGATGTCGATCAATGGCATGGTAAAATATTCGTATTTTAATTAATATTGTATTTTGTTTTTTGAATCAACTTAATATTCAATTTCGTTATTTGAATTTCCCGAATTTTATATATTTTTAAAATATATTGCTCTATTTCACTTGTTCAAGATATAACTTTTGTCACCGTACCAAGATTTAAAGGTGTACCTTCCTCTTTAAATATGATATCTGAAAAAACTGGCAACGGTGGACCTCTTCTGCAGCCGTATCCTGATTGGTCGTCGACAAACTATAAAGATTGCTCTGGAATTGTGAGCGCTTACAAAATTGCGGTAATTAAAACACTTTTTCTATGAATATTTACAAAATTAAATTTTCTTTTGAAAGAAGAAAAAATAATTTGTTCTATGTTTAGATCGACAAGTTCGACAGATTGTGGGTTCTGGACTCAGGTATTATCAATAATACTCAACCCATGTGTTCACCAAAATTGCATGTCTTTGATCTCAATACCTCACAGCAACTTAAGCAAGTTACGATGCCACATGATATTGCTGTAAATGCCACCACAGGAAAGGGAGAACTCGTATCACTAGTTGTTCAAGCTAGGGATCCCATGAATACTATGGTGAGTTTAACCTATAAAAGTAATCGTCTTCATTTTCTTGGAAATTTTTTATTTTACTTTTTTATTTATTTATTTCCTATATAATGAAAATTAAATAAAAAGATAATAATATTGCAATATAATAGAAAAATTCATAACTTTCGAAATAATTATATATTTTTCTAATTTAGATAAAAAAAATGGAAGTATATACTATTTCGCTTTTATATATAAAAAAAATAATTTTGTAGCTTTTTTTGATGTTTTCTTTTGACAGTAAGAATTATCATGTAATTTTGTTAAGATTCCAATCGATTAAATTTTATAAGATTTTAATAAAAACGAAAGTATTTCTGATGTATCTTGGATCATTATTTAAACATATTTAGATATTTATAATTTAATAATCATTGTGTTATTTATTAGTAGCATTTTATTCGAAAAAAATTATTTTCTATTAATAATAATTTTTCTTTAAAAATTATATATTCTAGGAAAGAATATCTGCAAATTCGTATTTAGTTATTTATTTACATTAAAATTAATAAGAAAAATCTATTGAAAGTTACAAAATCAAAAAAAAATTAAAATCGATCGAACAATATTATTACTTATAATATAATAATGATATAACAGGTGTATATGGCAGATAACAAAGGTGATGCTTTAATCATCTACCAAAATTCCGATGATTCTTTCCATCGATTGACTTCCAACACTTTCGATTACGATCCCAAATATACCAAAATGATGGCCGCAGGAGAAAGTTTTACATTGCAAGATGGAATTTTTGGAATGGCACTCAGTCCCATGACAAACAATCTTTATTACAGCCCTCTTTCTTCTCGCAGTTTGTATTATGTTAACACCCAACCCTTCATGAAATCACAATATGGAGCAAATAACGTACAATATGAAGGGTAAATATAAAAATAATTTTTAAAATTTTAAGAAATAGAATAATTTAATTTAATTTTAATTATAATTAAATTTTAATTATATTAAATAATGTATTAATATATTCATTACATACATGAAATTTTTGAGGAAAATTGATTGTAAGGAAGAATATTTATCAACTCATGAATCATGATTAATATTCTTTTAATGAATCATGATAATTTTCAAATTGTTTTTTGTCGAATGTATAACCATTGAGAAACATTGATGAAACAAGACAAAGAATATAGAATTCCCTCTCTGTCATATAATGCAAATTTAAATTACTAATAATTTAAAAAATAAGCCTCATTCAATATTTTTTCTAATTTTATATTTTTTTTAATTCCAGAGTTCAAGATATTTTTAATACTGAATCGATTGCTAAAGTAATGTCGAAAAATGGCGTTCTCTTTTTCGGTCTCATGAATAATTCAGCTATTGGTTGTTGGAATGAGCATCAACCACTTCAGAGACAAAATATGGTTAGTAATTTTTTAATCTTTCTTCTTTTTTTGACACATTTCTTCCAGCTGCTATTACTTATAGTCTTTTTTTCAGACAAGAAAAAATATGTGACGTTATATTATCCTAATTACTATAAATTTGACAAAGCCTCGATATTTGTCTCTTTGGTCATGTAATGTAGTGTAATGTAATCGTAGTGGAAATAATATAACGTCACGTGTTTTTTTTCAATAAAATTCTTAAATCGTTTTCTTTGTAAATATATGTTTATCTTAATTATCTTTTAATTAACTTAAGATGAGTTTTCATTGCACAAAATTTTAGTTGAATTCATAAAAATGATTGAATTTGATCGATTCGATCACATCAAAAATTAGTCAATATAAACATTTTTAAAATTTCTGTAAATATGAAGAAATTACAGATGATAAAACTCAATTAAATAATCCAATTTATGTCATTTATATTTTAACGACAAATGTTTTTTAGAAGGAAGTATAAATAAAAATGTTTTAAATTATTTTAAAATTACAGGATATGGTCGCTCAGAATGAAGAGACACTTGAAACAGTCGTTGCTATGAAAATGATGCATCTCTCACAATCCAACAGGATGAATTGGATGAATAGGATGCATAACATGAATAGGATGGATAAAATGAATGGAATGGATAGGATAAATAGGATGGATAATATAGATAGGATGGATAGAATGGATAGAATGGATAGGATGGATAGGATGAATAAAATGGATAGAATGGATAGGATGGATAGACAAAAGAATGAATATATGATGGCTTTAAGTATGAAATTACAGAAATTTGTAAATAATGATTATAATTTCAACGAAGTAAACTTCCGAATTTTGGGTGCAAATGTAAACGATTTAATAATGAACACTCGTTGTGCAATTTCTGATAATCAGAATGACAATCAAAATAAGCATAACAATTAAGGTGATCATTCTTTATATTAAAATCTGTTAATTAGTCTTTTTTTATAAACCAAATATTTTTTAAAATTTCTTTATATTATAAATGAATAAAATAAATATCGTTTTTGCATGATATTTTTCATTTTTATTGCCTTACCTTTAAAAAATTATGATAATATAGAAATTAATGTGTATTTATATTTGTATTACTTTAAATATTTCTTACATTATATTTATAATATGAATGAATGAAGTTCTATTTATAATATGAATGAATATAGTGTAAAATAACAGATTAAGAAATTAAAAATAAATAATAATAATAATAATAATAATAATAATAAAACAAAATAATTTGAAAGTGGTAACTGATACAAGGATATAAAGCGTTAAAAAAAAATGAATTTCACATTACATTTGTAATAAACAATATTACATTTTTTTTTCAATATTAAATTTTCCTTTAGCAGAAAAATTTATCAAATAACATCAAATTGTTTTGCAAAACTAACTTTGTAATTTTCGAAAGATTTTTTTAAAAATGTATGTATTTTTGATGTTCTTTTACGTTGGATCATTATTTAAATACATTTAGATATTTGTAATTCAATAACCATTATGTTATCAGTAACATTTCGTTCAAGAGAGATCATTTCCTATCGATATTAATAAATAACTATTGTTCTAAAAATAGAAAATCTTTTTAAAATTGAAAAATTACAATTTTTCTTAAAAAATGGTATATTTTGGAAAAGACGATTTGCAGATTCGTATTCGTATATAGTATATTAAAAAATAATAATATATAGTATAGAAAAAAATCTATTGAAAATTACAAAATCAAAAAAAAGTTAAAACCTATAGAATAATATTATTACTTACAATATATAAATGATACATTAGGCATACATGGCAGACAACAGAGGTAACGCTTTAAGTGTTTATCAAAATTCCGACAATTCTCTCCATCGATTGACTTCCAACACTTTCGATTACGATCCCAGATATACCGAATTTACGATCGCGAGTGAAAGTTTCATATTGCAAGATGGAATTTTTGGAATAGCAGTTAGTCCCGTGACAAATAATCTTTATTATAGCCCTCTCTCTTCTCGCAGTTTGTATTAACACGGAACCATTCGTGAAATCAGAATATGAAGGAAACGTGCAATATAAAGGTGAATAATTTTTTAAATTTTATATAATAGAATAAGTTATTATTATTTATCCTGTTAATATGTTTATGAAACATTTTTGGAAAACTGATTCTAGAACAGTTTTTCAATTTATGTTTCATGGCCAATACAATTTTGAGTATTTCTAATTGAAAATTGTTTCCTATATATACTTCACATTGAAATATATTGTTGGATAAAACATAGTCTAGAATATAGAATTCTGTCTTTGTTATATTATCATTTAATATAAATTTAATATAAATTTATATTGTTAATAACTTAATAAATAAGCTTCAACTAATATTTTTATTTACATCATGACTAATATTTTTTATCGATGCTCCATATCTTACACATTTTTTATTAATTTCAGAGTTGAAGACATTTACAATACTCAATTATCCGCTAAAGCAGTATCGAAAAATGGCGTCGTCTTTTTCGGTCTTGTGAATAATTCAGCTCTTGGGTGCTTGAACGAGCATCAACCAATTCAGAGACAAAATATCGTTAGTAATTTATTAACCTTTTTTCTTTTCTTGACATATTTTTTCCAATTATTAGATTTAGCGTTTTTTTTTCCACATGAAAAATACATGATATTACATTGTCCCAATTATAATTTGACAGGAACACGAGTCACATGATTCCATGCAACGCTTGTCTTTGCATGGAAATCAAACAATTATAATGAAAATAATGTAATTTCATGTTTTTTTTCAATAAAATGTTTAAATCGTTCTTTTTGCAAAATTACATTTATCTTAATTATCTTTTAATCAAATCGTCAAAAAAGCTTTCTATTGCACAAGCTTTTAATTAAATTCAAAAAAGTGATCGAATTTGATTAATTTGATAGTCGCATCAAAAAATAAGTAAATATAAACATTGTTTTAACACAACAATTTAACTAAATAATCGAATTTATGCCATGTACATTTTAGCAACAAATGTTTTTTAGAAAGAAGTATAATAAAAATGAAATTATTTTAAAATTACAGGATATGGTCGCTCAAAATGAAGAGACACTTCAAATGATATTTAGTATAAAAATTAAGCAAGATTTTCCACAATCCAACAGAATTAATAAAACTAAAAGGAATGAATATATGTTGGCTTTAAGTAATAGATTACAGAAATTTATGAACCATATATTATGAACCATAATTATAATTTCAACGAAGTAAACTTCAGAATTTTAGGTGCAAATGTAAATGACTTAATAAAAAATACTCGTTGCGCAAATTTTAACAATCAAGTTCTACATTCTTCAAAATCACATTAAAATTTGTTAATTAATTTTTTCTTGATGTAAATTAAATATTTTTCAAAATTTCTTTATAAATAAATAATTATTATAAATGAATTATAAATGAATAAAGTAAATATCGTTTTTGCACGATATCTTTTACTTTTATTTTTCTACCTTTAAAAATTACAATAATATAGAAATTAACAATTACTTATATTTATATTAGTTTAAATATTTCTTATATTATATTTAATATGACTATATGAAAGTAACAAATTAAAGAAAAACAAATTAAATTAAAAAAAGAAGTTAAAGTTAAAAAAAAACATATCAAGCATATTTGAAAGCAATAATTGATAAAAAGATAAACCATGAAAGAAAAAAATTTCATATTACTTTTCTATAACTAATATTACACTTTTTTCAAATTTTATATAATAATTATTTAAAATAGCAGTTATTTCATTGATTTCAATGTTTCTACAATATCGTTTGTTAAGATTATCATTTTGAGCAAGTATATTATTAATTAATTACATGAGGATACATTGATTTCATATCTGAATTTGTTTCTTTAATAATTATCCAAGCACTATCATATTCTGACAATTAATTATTTCTTCCTTGATTTCATTTTATTGAGATAGAATAATATTTCTTATGAATAAAATAGAAATAAATTTTTATTCAATTTTTCTTTTATGTTATGTATTTTAATCTATCATTTACGAATAAGTATTTTTGTTAAAATTTACCAAAGTTAAGCATCGTATCGTGATACTTGATATGTTTCTATTAATAATATAGCATTGACTATATATTGGATAATAAGATATCATTTATTCTAGTATCGAAAATTATATGTCGCAGAAAAATTAAGGAATTAAACATTAAATTGTTTATACCTTGATAAGTAAGCATTAATCAAATTTGATTTTGCTTTTAATCTTAAATCGATCCTCCACAAATGATCCTCTTAGATATATATTAATATTATTTATATGTATGACAAGTATTTATAACAGAGATAACATAGATTATGCATTAATTATTTATAACAGTAGCAATCTTGAGCATGTTCAATTCTAATCTGAAATATAATAAAATGAACAAAGAAAATTTAAAAAAAAAAATGAAATTTGGAATTATGTAAAAACTACAGAATTCACAGAATTAGAAGATGAAAACAACAATTTACGATATTAATAAATATGATGATAATTTTTATTTACAGAGACTAGCATATTTTACGAATTAAAGAGAGAATATCTTTATTAATAATAAATATTTTCTATGCTTCTTTTTGTTTATTATATTTGTTATTATTAAAATATTATCTCTAAGTGTTTCTTTTTAAATAATCCTACAATTCTTGTGTTGAAAAAAACCATTTATATTAGACATTTTATCTAAATAATCGACATTAATTTAGATCATGAATTAAAAGTAAAGAATTAAAAATCATGAAAGAAGTTAATTTTAATTTAAAAAAATTTAAGTTCTTCTAAAGATATATACAAATTGATGTGTTAAAGTTTAATTAACACGTTTCTATGAACATATGTTAAAATATGTTTAAAAACAAATATTTTAGTAACATTAATTTGACATGATATGATAAAAATGTAAAAAAAGATTAGAAATATTAATCAATTTTGTCAAATACAAATAAGTTTCGTGAAAATTAACGTCATAAATATAATTATAAGCGATAGTAATATTATGTCATATGATTATTTATTTAATTAGTAATATATTTAATATAACTAACATAATTATTTATTTATTTATTTTGAATTTCTTTAATTAATTGTTACTTTTCTTTTTCTATTTTTCAAATCTATTTTTCAAATTATTTTTTTCTACAAATAATAAACATAAAATAAAGAAACATATTTTGAACAATCTTCATATGAAAATTAAGTATATGTATTTATATCATATACAAAAGACATATTAAATTATCGAATCATCATATCAGTAAATATGAAGAAAGATAAAATTAAAATTATAAAATTATGAAATTGCAGAATATGATTAATAATAAAACTTTTCAGATTATTAGTGGTTTTATAGTCAAGATTTTCTAATTTTAATTCCATATTTAACTCACTATATGTGAATATATATTGATTTTGAATAAAAAATATTACAAAATATTAAATGATAATTTAAATTTCGATAACATGAATCCTTGAATTTTGAATGCGGATATAAACACATTAATGTAGTAAATTCGTTCTATCAGATCAATTTGCAAAGGAAGCTAACAAATTTTATAATTCCTACTTCTGTTACATATTATTTGTATATATACCAACTATTCATCTGAATTTTTAAATAAATTCAATATATAAATATAATTATTCTATCTTTAAGAAATTATTCTTCATATTTTTTCTAGAACTATATATTATCTATATATTAACTATATATATTATTATATATTATCTCAATTAATAGTTTTCTTAAACATACACATACAAAAATAGAGGTGTGACAAAGCTGATAAACAAAATTCTGTAAAATTTTAAGTTAAGTTAACACTTTTAGGGAATATAAATTATAACCTGTCACATTCTAATCCTTTAAAAAATATCTATAACAAGATAAACGAAAATTCAAAAAAACAATTTACTTTATCTTTGTGAAATACATACCATTACCACCTATATATTGACCAATCGTTAGTAAAAATTCAACAGTTCCTACAGTTCACTTAGGAACTATTCTGCCGACTCTTGAAATTCACTTGTAAAATATCTCCAACATCTTAAGTAAGTGTTTTCATATATCCTCAATTTTGATATTTATTTGCAATCTTTCATTCATCTGGCAAAATAAAATATTTTATAGAAAAATGACAAGGTGGTTGTTTATGGTGGCATGTCTTGGCATAGCTTGTCAAGGCGCCACTATTCGAGAAAATTCTCAAAAAAATTTGGAAAATTCGTTGAATGTAATTCACGAATGGAAATATTTTGATTACGATTTCGGTAGCGAAGAAAGAAGACAAGCTGCGATTCAATCTGGCGAATATGATCATACCAGAAATTATCCCTTCGATGTCGATCAATGGCGTGGTAAAATTTTCTTATTTTAAATTATTATTACATTCTAATCGTCGAAACACTTAATATTCAATTATTTTCATCATTCATATTTCTTCATTTTTCTATAATTAAAAAGATATTTCACATTTTGCATTTCTTGTTTAAGATAAGACTTTTGTCACCGTACTAAGATACAATGGTGTGCCATCTACTTTGAACGTGATATCTGACAAAACTGGCAAGGGTGGACGCCTTCTACAACCATATCCTGATTGGTCGTGGGCAGAGTATAAAGATTGCTCCAAAATTGTGAGCGCTTTCAAAATTGCGGTAATTGAACTTTTTTTTCTATAATTATCTTTAGAATTAATTTTCCTCTTCAAAGAAAAAGAAGATTCATTTATCGTATGATATTTAGATTGACAAGTTCGACAGATTGTGGATTTTGGATTCAGGTCTTATCAATAGAACTGAACCCGTGTGTGCTCCAAAGTTGCATGTCTTTGATCTGAAAAACTCAAAGCATCTTAAACAAATTGAAATACCTCATGATATTGCCGTAAATGTTACCACAGGAAAAGGAGGACTAGTGTCTCTAGCTGTTCAAGCCATAGATCCTATGAATACTTTAGTGAGTTTAAATTATAATTAAAATTTTAAATTAGAGATTAAATTAGAATTGCACTATGATAAAAATAAAATTCATAACTTTCGAAATAGTAAAATAATTAAATTTGGATCAAAGAATTAAAATTTATAATATTATATTATTTCTTTTATATAAAAAACAAAATTATTTTATAACTTTCTCTGATGTTTTCCTTTAGCAGAAAAATTAATTAGATTAAGTTAAATTTTTTTGTATATCATTAATTTTTATAAAACTTTTAAAACAAATGTATTTTCGATGTTCTTTTATTTGAATCATTAGTTAAACATATTTAAATATTTATAATCAGTTCTATTATTATGAGAGATTATATTGAAAGAGTTAATTTTAAAGAACAATTGAATGATTACTATTTCAAAAGCTATGTATTCTAGGAAAAATAATTAGAATCGCATTCAGCGTAAAATTTATAAGACATATATTTAATGAAAGTTATAAAATCAAGAAAAAATTAAAATCTATCAAATAATATTATTAATTATAATATAAATTATATTAATGATATAATAGGTGTACATAGCAGACCATAAGGGTGATGCTTTAATCGTCTACGAAAATTCCAATGATGCCTTCCATCGAATGACTTCCAACACTTTTGACTACGATCCCAGATATGCCAAAATGACGATCGATGGAGAAAGTTTCACACTGAAAAATGGAATTTGTGGAATGGCTCTTAGTCCCGTGACGAATAATCTTTATTACAGTCCTCTCGCTTCTCACGGTTTGTATTATGTTAACACGGAACCATTCATGAAATCACAATATGGAGAAAATAACGCCCAATATGAAGGGTAAATATAAAAATAATTTCTTAAATTTTATGAAATAGAATAATGTTAAATAATATGTATTAATATATTCGTGGAACTTTTTTATAAAATTGATTCAAGAATAGCGTTTCAACTTATCTATTCTTGCATACTATCTTTCGCATTCTTAATTATATATTTCTTATTAATTTCAGATCTCAAGATATTTTGAACACGCAATCATTGGCTAAAGCAGTATCGAAAGATGGCGTTCTCTTCGTTGGACTTGTGGGTAATTCAGCTCTTGGTTGCTGGAACGAGCATCAACCACTTCAGAGACAAAATTTAGTTAGTAATTTTTTATCGTTTCTCTTTTTCCTCACATTTTTTTGTCATATTTTCTTGGCACATTTCTTCCTATCAGACGCTATTATCACTATAATTGAACGTGAATTTTCACATGAGAAGTACATATACACTGCTAGATTTGACAGAAACAGGAGTCACGTGACATGATGCAAACTTGCTTTGCTGTAAGATCACGTGATATATTTCTATGTAACACTAATAGTGGGGATAATGTGATGACATATTCTTTTCGTGCAGGAACTCGCGAAGTATAGTGTATAGTAATAGATAATATAAAGTTAAATGTTTCTAGATTTATGAATATATTTTTTTCTCTTATATATTAATTGTTAATAATTTAATAATTTTCGTTTTTATTTTCTATTATTTTTTTTCCATAAAATCTGTTTATTTTCTTTTAAAATTATATTTAAGATTTTTTAATCGGATTTTTTAATCATAACATTGAACAGTATAAATTAACATCGAACAAAATATAATTTTGAATGAGTTAGAATTGTACAAATTTTTAGTTAATTTAGTAGATGTTTCAATTTAATTGGATTAAAAATTACTTAATATAAACGCAATTTTTTCTGTAAATATACGTGAGAAATTTATAGTATATTGAAAACATTTGATTAAATAATCGAATTTATGTAATTTATGTTTTCAAAACAACAACTGTTTTATATGATGAAATATAAATAAAAATGAAACTATTTCGAAATTACAGGAACTGGTCGCCCAAAATGAAAAGACACTTCAAATGATCGCAGGTATGAAAATTAAGGAAGAGCTTCCACATTTCGTAGGAAGTAACAAACCTGTAAAGGATGAATATATGTTAGTTTTAAGTAACAGAATGCAGAAAATAGTAAACAATGACTTTAACTTTGATGATGTAAACTTCCGAATTTTGGGTGCGAATGTAAAGGAATTAATAAGAAATACTCATTGCGTAAATTCTAACAATCAGAATAATAACAATCAGAATGTTAACAATCAAAATACTAACAATCGAAATAATAAGAATCAAAATACTAAGAATCAGAAGAGTAACAATCAGAATACTAACAATCAGAAGAGTAACAATCAGAATACTAACAATCAGAATGATAATCAAGCTCGTTCTTCAAAATCGCATTAAAATTAATTAATTAAAATGTAAATCAAATATTTTTTAAAATATTTTCTCAATGTAAACCAAATATTTTGTAAAATCTTTTTACATTATATTATAAATAAATAAAATATCGTTTTTGCATAATATTTTTTAAAATTTTATTACCTTATTTTTAAAAATTATAATAATATAGAAATTGTATTTGTATTTATATTAATTGATATTTCTAATAAATATATTTAATATAAATGAGCGAATGAATGTAGTGTATCAAGAAATAGCACGAATGAAATATGAAGAATGAAATGATAAGAATTAAATAAAACAATTTAAAGAAAATGATTTGTAATGAAATATCGAATGTGGAAAAAAATTGATTTATTTAAAATAAAACATACTTCATCGTTTTAAGCAATTTTATTCGTTATTATTTATATAAAGATATACATTATCGATTTCACATTTAAATCTTCTTTGATAATTATCTCAATATTAATGTATAATTGATAATTCATAATTAATAATTATTGCTTGAATAGAATAAAAAGAAAATGTTCGAGTTCTCTTTTATATTATGTAATTTAATATAATCACTCGTGATTGAGATTATTACTCGCCAATGAGCAAATATTCCCTCTACTATTAAAGTCTACTAAAGTTAAGCTGAAGTCAAGTATCGCATCGTGTCACATGACGTGTCTCTGCTTTTATGTAGCAATGGTAGTGGGGATATAACGTAACATATTCTACTACTGTTGCAAGGGAATTGAGTTAATGGTAGAATAGATAGCATATTGAAAATAAGTAGAAAAATTAATAGTTTCAAAATTATAAGCAATTTTGATTTGATTAATATTAAATATTATTTCATACTTCCGTACCAAAGATTTAACAAAAGAAAGAAGTTATTTATATAATATATAAATGATTAATTTTTTAACACATGATTATTACTACTCTTTTCATTTATTATCGAATATTATTATTTATTAGAGTATTAATATAGGAAATGTTAATATATATTTATACTTTCAAAGAATCAATTCTCTAATTCAATACAAATATAAAAGTTAGACATGATTTATTTATTAAATAATGATGATATTAATTATGAGAATCTGAGTTTGCATTAAATGAAGATAACAGAACTATCTTTATCACATCTTTTTACTTTCTTCGTGCAGAACATTAAATTATTTTTAACTTGATAAATAAACTTTAATCGATACTTTTTTTATATTTCTTTTATATTTCTTTTCATCTCTAAATCGATTTTTCAGGAATATATTAATATCGTTTAAATATCTGTGCAACAATATGTACGCAACAAACATGAGAGGTTAATTACAGCAACTGACTTCGAGCATTTTCAATTAAAATCTCGAATATAATACATTCACGATCGATGGAGAAAATTATTCAAAAAAATTTCAAATTGTGTCAATACATCGGAATTTGCAGAATTACAAGATCAAAAGAACAATATACAATATCAATAAATATGATGATAATTGATTTTTAATTTAGAAGCCAGAATATTTTATAGAGAGAATATCATTATTAATGATAAATATTTTCTATTCATTCATTTCTTTTTATTTATATTTGCTTCATTTTTGTTTATATTCGCTGTTATTAATATGATCTTATTTATTCTTTTTTAATAATCTTACAATTCTTGCGTAGAAATCGATAAATCATTTAATCGAAATAATTAATGTAAAATTAATTAAGATCACAAATAAAAGTTACTTCAACGTGATCAATCAAAAATTACTTCATTTACTTTTTCTATTTAAAAAATTTATGTCCTTTTAAGAAGATATAAAAATTTATACTTGAAATTTAATTAATACATTTCCATCGCTATTTACAAAAAAATATTTTAGTTATTATTATTAATTTTATGCAATTGTTTTAATTATATGAAATAAAAATATAGAAAAAGATTAGAAATGTTAATCAAATTCGTTGAATACAAATAAATTTCACTTGAAAATTAACTTTATTATTATTATAAATACGTATTATACTTATTATTATAAGTACAAGCGATAATAAACAACGTCATATAATAATTAATTAGTAATATAGCCAATATATTTAACAAAATCATTTATTTATTTATTTTTAAATTTTTTTATAAACATAAAAAAAACATATTTTGATCATTTTTCACATGAAAATTACATATGTATAATAATGTAATCTTATTATAATAGTAAATATAATATATTAAAAATATATTAAATCAAATATATTAAATCATCGAATCGATTCATATTATTTGACAATAAAAATATTTGACAATAAGAAAGATAAATAAAATTAAAATTAGGAATATTTAATTAGGAAATCGCAATAATAAGACTCTAATTATTAATGATTTAAAAATCAAGTTTTTATTCCAGTTTCTTTGTTCAGTTCATCATATGTTGATTTTAAATATGACAAATATTAAAAAATATTAAATAACAACTTGAATCTCGATAATATGAATTCTTGAATTCTGACTGCGGATATAAACATATTAATAGATCATATTCAGATCAATCTATCAGATCAAAGAAAGCCAACAAATTTTATAATTCCTATTTCTGTTACATATTCTTTGCATATGTACCAACTTTTCGTCTGAATTTTTAAATAAATTCAATATATAAATATAATTATTCTATCTTTAAAAAATTATTCTTCATACTTTTTCTAGAATTATATATTATCTATATATTAATTATATATATTACTATATATTATCTCGATTAAGTTTTCTGTACGAAGTTAAACACATACACAAAAAAATAGAGGTGTGACAAAGCTGATAAACAAAATTCTGTAAAATTTTAAGTAAAGTCATATATCCTCAATTTTGATATTTATTTGCAATCTTTCATTCATCTGACAAAATAAAGTATTTTATAGAAAAATGACAAGGTGGTTGTTTATGTCTTGGCATAGCTTGTCAAGACACCATTGTTCGAAAAAATTCTGCAAGAAACTTGGCAAATTCGTTGAATGTAATTCACGAATGGAAATATTGATTATGATTTTGGTAGCGAAGAAAAAAGACAAACTGCGATTCAATCTGGCGAATACGATCATACGAAAAATTATCCTTTTTTTGACGTCGATCAATGGCGTGGTAAAATTTTCTTATTTTAAATTATTATTGCATTCTAATCGTCAAAACATATAATAATATTCAATAATTTTCATATTTCATCATTCATATTTTTTCATTTTTAAATAATTAAAAAGATATTCCACATTTTGCATTTTTTTTTTTAAGCTAAGACTTTTGTCACCGTACTAAGATACAATGGTGTGCCATCTACTTTGAACGTGATATCTGACAAAACTGGCAAGGGTGGACGCCTTCTACAATCGTATCCTGATTGGTCGTGGGCGAAGTAAAGATTGCTCTGGAATCATGAGCACTTATAATATTGCGGTAATTGAAACTTTTTTTGTGATTATTTTCAGAATTTTTATTTTGAAAGAAGAAAAATTCATTTGTTTTACGATGTTTTTTAGATCGACAAGTTCGACAGATTGTGGCTTCTGGATTCAAGTCTTATTAATAATATTCAACTTATGTGTTCTCCAAAATTGCTTGCCTTTGATCTCAATACTTCACCATTGCTCAAACAAGTCGAGATAGTGCACGATATTGCCGTAAATACCACCATAGGAAACGGAGGATTAGTATCTTTAGTTCTTCAAGCTATGGATCCTATGAATACTCTGGTGAGTTTAAATTATAATTAAAATTTTTAAATTAGAGATAATAATGTTGCAATATGATAAAAAATAAAATTCATAACTTTCAAAATAGTTTTTGAACTTAGTCCAAAGAATTAAAATATACAGTATTATACAGTATTTATTTTCGTTTTTATAAAAAAAAAATAATTTTGTAGCTTTCTTTGATGTTTTAACAGAAATAGTAAACAGTATCACGTTATATTAAATTTTCTTGTGAATCTTTAATTTTTGTAAATTTAAGAATATTTTCAAAAATGAATGTTTTTTTTTTTTTACTTGAATTTTTTACTTGAATCATTAATTAATCATTTAGATACTTATAATCACTTTTATATTCATATTTAGATATTTACAATCACTTTTACTATTTTAATCAGGAGAATTAATTTTAAAAAACAATTGAATGACTGTTATAAGAAACTGTGTATTCTAGGAAAAATAATCTCCAGAATCACATCCAGCTCAAGATTTATAAGAAATGTATCTATTGAAAGTTATAAAATCAAGGAAAAATTAAAATATATCAGATAATATAATTAATTACAATATAAGTTATACTGTGATAATAATGATATAGGTGTATGTAGCAAACCATAGTGGTGATGATTTAATCGTCTACCAAAATTCCGACGATTCTTTCCATCGATTGACTTCCAACACATTCGATTACGATCCCAGATATACCAAAATGACGATTGAAGGAGAAAGTTTCACTGTACAAGATGGAAATGCACTTAATCCCATGACGAACAGTCCTTATTACAGTCCTCTCTCTTCTCGCAGTTTGTATTATGTTAACACAAAATCATTCATGAAATCATAATATGGAGAAAATAACGTCCAATATAAAGGATAAATATAAAAAAAAATTTTTAATTTTATGAAATAATTTTCTATTAAATAGTACGTACTTTTGATTAAGAATATCCAGATTGTTTCAAGTTGTCTCCATCACACTATCATCTTGCTTCTATCTGCAAATTTAAGTTGGTTATAATTATAATTTAATATATAAATTTTAATCAATTTTTGTATATCAAAAATTTTTTCTGGTTTTTTAGAATCGATGCTTCAGATATCTTACATATTTTTGCTTAATTCCACATTTTTATTAATTTCAGAGTCCAAAATATTTTCAACACTCAATCAACCGCTAAAGCAATATCGAAAAATGGCATCCTTTTCTTCGGTCTCGTGAATAATACAGTTATTGGTTGCTGGAACGAGCATCAAACACTTCAGAGAGAAAATGCCGTTAATAATTGCAAATATTTTTTAATCTTCTTTTTTTCTTCACACTTTTTTGTCATATTTTCTCGACACATTTCTTTCAAAACCTACTACTAAACATGATTTTCCGTATGAAAAGAATATGTCGTTACATTATTCCAATTACTAGAGTTGACAGAGATATAAGTCACTTGATACGATGCAAATGATTGATACGCTTATCTTTGATAGAAAGTCATATGATGTAGCAATCATAGTGGGAATAACGTGATGTCATGTATTCATTTTTATACAGAAATTTCCAGTAACTGCAATAAGTGGGAGTAACTGTGAATAGCATTTGACAATTTTGCCTTCTATTGAAATGTTTCACTTTTCAAATATACTATTATATTAATAAAAATAAATATACTATATTAATATAATTTAATATTAATTAATAAATATACTATTAACGTTTTTCCTCTTATATAAGTTAATGCTTTTGTTTTTATTTGATTTTATTTATTTATTTTTTTCTTTTTTTTTCTATTTCTTCTGAATTGCCTGTTATTTTACTTTTTTCGTAAAATTATATTCATATTAATTTTCTTTTCATCGAAATGTATGAATTTATTAGAATCGTGTAAATTTTTAATTAAATTAGTTAAATTTAAATTTATTAAAAGATGTTTCAATTTAATTGATAGTTAGCCAAATCACTCAACATAAATGTGGTTAAACATTCTATAAACATACATGAAAACATTTGATTAGATACATTGATAGTACTCAATTAAATAATCGAATTTATGTAATTTATGTTTTCATAGCAAATGTTTCTTAGAAGATATAGAAATAAAAATGAAATTATTTCGAAATTACAAGATATGGTCGCCCAAAATGAAGAGACATTTCAAATGATGGTTGGTATGAAAATTAAGGAATTGCTTCTATATATCATCATTATTGATATAAATAATATAATAAACAATGAATATATATTAGTATTAAGTAACAGAATGCAAAAAATATTAAACAATGATCTTAACTTCAATGATATTAATTTCCGAATTTTGATTGTGACCGACTTGTTAGAAAACACTCGTTGCACAAATTCTAATATTCAGAATGGTAATAATACGTACGTAATCAAAATAACGATAACAACATAAGAATCACAATAAACTCTTTAGTTGATTAGCCATTTCTTGATGTATATAAACCGAATATTCTTTAAAATTTCTTTATATTATAAATAAATAGAATAAATATCGTTTTCACATAATATTTTTTAATTTTATTACTCTAAAAATTACGATAATATTACGATAAAATGTACTTGTATTTATATTAATTGATATTTCTAACATTAGATTTAACATGAATGAGTGAGTGAATGAATGCAGTGTAAAGTAATATATTAAAAAGTTAAATAAACAGTTTGAAAGAAATACTTCATAATAAGATATCAAGTTTGAAAAAAATATAAATTTCACATGATACTTGTAAAATTACATTTTTTCTAATTTTATAACAATTATTTAGAATAGAGGTTATTTCGTAAATTTCGATGCTTTTGCAAAATATTTTATCAAGATTATCATTTTGAACAATTACATTATTAATTAATTATACAAGGATACACTTCATTGATTTCACATCTAAATTGATTCTTTTTCAATTCTTTCGCTCGTTTTGCTAGATCATAAAAACAGAAAAATAAAAACATTTCTTATGAATAAGATAGGAAAAAATACTCGAATTTTCTTCTATACTATGTATTTTTTGCACTTTATCTACTTTATGATTGAGGTTATCACTCACCGTGCAAAATCGCCGAACAAATACATACATTGGCTATTAAAAGTAGTCAAAGCACAACGTGACGTATTTCTGTAACATCACATATTCTTTTCCTATGCCGTAAACAATTTGAATTCAGCCATTTTTAGCGATTGAGAGGATAGCACACTTCCGGCAAATGACACTGCTAATGATTCTCTTGCATCATTCCATGAGACGTCTTAATTATTTTCTGTACTTTTGTTAGTAATAATTCTATATTATTAAAGGATAAAATATAAAATTAAAAATATAAAATTAAATTAATTATATTTATCTTATTTTAGCAATAATTTATTAGGACAATCTATATCGGGTAATTAAAATAATACAAATTGCAAACTTGTAATGTAATTCTATTTTTTATTGATTATACTTGCATCATTTTAATTCTTAGCTTATCAAATAATCCTCATAAATTATACAGATAACACTGTTATTAACCTGCAATAAAATAAATTAATTAATATTTAAATGATGGGTTATTGTAATTGAAAAACGTTGCAAAATGTAATTTCGACTATTTGTTAAGTTTATAATTAAATTGTTAAATTTTATAATTAAATTTTATATCGATATATACAGAATGTTAATAATATACTTCTGGGACATGACTAATTTTAAGTAAACATAAAAATTGATATATATAACTTGTCACTTATATTTATTATAAACTCATTATATAAACTTATAAACTTATTGTATAAATTTATTTATTATTTATTATTTATTAATTATAAGCACCTCAAAGTGAGACAGAACAAAGGAATAATAGAATATAAGCAAAATATTGTATCGTTTTCATTTAATTGGATTTAAATTATAACCTGTCATACTAGAATTTTTTAAATGTACTTTAAAATATTTCTGTGTCAACATAAACGCAAATTTTGACAAAACAAACAATTCATTTTATCTCTAGATATAGGCAAAATATAGGTCATTACTACTTATATATTGCCCAACCGTGACAATTCGTCATAATTTAACAGTCGCAATTCAGATATACTGCTTACATTCCTTAAAATTAATTGTCAGTACTAAAATATCTCATACGCCTTAGTTCATATGCCTCAATTCTGATTTTTATTAAAATTTTTTATCTTTTTGACCAGAGAAAATATTTTTCAGAAAAATGATAAGGTGGTTGCTGCTGATGTATCTTGGCATAGCTTGTGTTACAGACATTCATTCAAGAAATTTGACAAATTCGTTGAAAGTCATTTACGAATGGAAATATATTGATTACGATTTCGGTAGTGACGAAAAGAGACAAGCTGCCATTCAATCAGGCGATTACAATTATACAATGAATTATCTTTTCGATACCGATCAATGGCGTGGTAAATTATTTTAAACGATTATTATTCCGCAATATTTCTTCATTATTCAAATTTTTCGATTATCATCATTCAGAAATATCATTTTCCTTTCTAGATAAGACTTTTGCCATTATAATGAAATTTAATGGTGTGCCTTCTTCTTTGAATGTGATAACTAATAAAATTGGCAACGGTGGACCTCTTCTGGCACCGTATCCTGATTGGACATGGGCGAAAAATGAAAATTGCTCTGGTATCATGAGTGTTTATAAGATTGAGGTAATCAGAAACTTTTTCTGTGATTACATTCAAAATTAATTTTCAAAATAAAAAAGCTCAATTTACGTACGATATTTAGATCGATATATGTGACAGATTATGGGTCTTGGATTCAGGTCTCATCAATAATGTCCAATCCGTATGTCCTCCACAACTCCTTGTCTTCGATCTGAATACTTCACAATTGTTAAAGCAAGTCAAAATACCGCACGATATTGCTGTGAATACTACCACAGGAAGAGGAGCTCTGGTGACTCTAAGTGTTCAATCGTTGAGTTGCGAAGTGAATGGATCCACTCTTGTAAGTGCAATAAAGACAATTCCATTTTTCCTAAAAAATTCTTAATTTTAGCATTGTAATTTATGATCGTATAATTATCTGTGTATTTAATTTTTTTTTAGAAAATTAGATTATTTAATTGGAAATTTTTTAAATTAATTTCGATTGAATTGATTATTTTTGTTTCTGCATGAATTTTATAATAATCTCATTCCAGAATGATAAAAAAATTCTTTATTAAAATAGATATTATTTTCTAAATGAAGCATAAAATTAGTAAAATTAAGTGAAAAAATTAAAATTTATAAAATTATAAATAATTTCGTTTTTTTATGAATAACTTTCTCATTTACAAATGTGTTACATGAAAACGATTACTTTATCATTCTTTACTTTATTACCTACGGAAGGTTATCTGCTCGTGCGCTTTTTTTTTTCACTGTTGGTTATATATTGAATAATTGTCACTTATTTATTTTACTTAACGCAAATGTACAAGTAATCCATAAAATTAATATAGGAACATATTTGTGCCTGTTATTTAAAAATTAATATTAAAAAATGAAAAATGAAGTTTGAATGTTACAAATATCATTTTGTAAATGATGAAGTATTATACGAAAGAAAATTATTATCAAATCTATATTTATTTTAAAAAGTGAAATGCTAGAATGCATTATAAGAATCATTTTATTGATGCAATAAATGAAACAAATCATACTTACTTTCTAAATTGTAGCAATTAATGTCAACAGTGATAAGCACAACAAATCGCATTGTTCATAGTTTTGCAAGCAATACTAAGAACATCATATGCGTATGCACATAACTAGTGCCATCTATCAAAGTTCTAACTCCAATTTTTTTGAATGTCATATAAGATAGATGGCATTAGTTATGCGCAGGCGTACATTATGTCCTTAATAGAAGATTACAAAACAGATTTATATGAAATATATAAAATATTTATATATGATATATTATCTGTTTATATAAAATTTTATATTTTAGAGTTCTTTAAAATTTAATACAAATATCTATAGTTTGTACATACAATATTCTATAATTGTATTTAATATAACAGGAAGTGTAAAAAAAAAATAAATTAAAAATATATAAAATAAAATTTTTTTATTTGATATTTTAAATTCAGTACGATAGCTATGAAAATGAACAAATTATTTGAAAAAATATTAAATTTTTGATGCACATTTATTTTTCTTTATTTTTTAATATGTGTACTTTATATTTATTTTTCTTTATCCTTTATTTTCATTATATTATTATAATATCGATTAAAATTATATATTTCGTATAATTTTGCAACAGGTGTATATAGGAGACAACGAAGGTTTCGCTTTAATTATCTACAACAATTCAGATAATTCTTTCCAACGATTGACTTCGAGTACCTTCGCAAGTGATCCTAGATATAGCGTATTCACAATCGACGGAGAGAGCTTCATATTGCAAAGTGGAATTTTTGGAATGGCACTAAGTCCTCTGACCCAAAATCTTTATTATAGCGCTCTGACTTCTCACAGATTAAATTATGTCAACACAGAACAGTTCATAAAATCACAATATCAGGCAAATAACGTGCATTATGAAGGGTAAATATATCGATAATGTATTTAACATTATTCATATTATGTATTAATATATATATGTTAATATATTTGTGCAATCTTTTTTGGAAAATCGATTTTATCTAGATCGAAAAAAACATAAAAATTGGAAAAAGTAAAAATTTTATTTTAACTTTTAAAATCGATCTTAAAGCGTTTCACGAATATGTTAAAACATATTTCTATATTTTTATCAATTTCAGAAAAGAAAATATTTTATGGACTCAAGCATCGGCTAAAGGAATATCGGATAATGGTGTTCTTTTCTTCGGACTTGTGGGTAATACATCTCTTGCTTGCTGGAATGAGAATCGATTACTTGACAGAAGAAATATTGTTAGTCGTATTTTTTTCTCACATTTTCTCTGAAATACAAATACATTTTTCTTTTAATGAAAAATTTCTTTATATAAATTAATAACTTTCTTTTTTATACAATAAATCAATAATAAATTTGTTTCTTTGACTTTTTTTTTAAATCAAAGATGGCTGCGTGAATTTTTAAAACTATCAGATAATTTTTGATTAAACGATCATGTCGATCGATTAAAAATAAACTAATTGAAAAATTAATTGATTAATTAAAAAGTAAAATTTATTTTGTAATTACAGGAAGTGGTCGCCAAGAATAAAGAAACTCTTCAAGCCATTACTGGTCTTAAAGTTAAAAGAAAATTTTCATTTATCATTATACATGGATTTTCTCTTGAATATGAATATGTATTGGCTGTAAGTAACAGAATACAAAAAGTATTCTACGGTTTTGATTTCAATGATGTGAATTTTCGAATTTTAATTGCGAGTGTGAACGATTTGATAAAGAGCACTCGTTGTATATCTCCTGAAATCAATCCTTTGTAAATCAAGTTATCTTATAATCTATATATATAATAAACAAATTCTAAAATAAAGAATTTTTGTTAATATTTTTCAATTTTATTATTAATAATATTAATATTTTCAATTTATTACTTTTAAGAATTATTATAATTATTTAAAATAGCTTTATTAATTTCGATGACCTTGAATCATATCATCAAGATTATCATTCTGGACAATTTTTTTGGTATAGATTAATTATTAATTAAATTAAAGTACATCGATTTTACATTCTACTTCTAATACTTGTAACAATTATACGAGGATTTTTATTGTATAGAGAAAAACATTTTTATAAGGTAAAAATGGAATATATGTTTTGTTTTACATTGCTTTTATATTTTCTTTTTTAAATTTTTAAAAGCGAATATATGTGAAAATTTCGTTTTTATTCTAGCAATTGGTGAGGATAACTGTGTGATAATTAAACGGGCACAATGTATAATAGTTAACTGTACACTGTTTATATTCTTAAATTATATAATTAATATGGGAGTATAAAATAAAATTCACAAATATTATATGTTACCAAAATTTTTATGAAAAGATAGAATTTTTTTTCACGAAAAAACACACTTTCATGAAAATTCTACTGACAAAAGATTTCAGTAATTATAAGGTTAATCATATGAAGATCCTTAAAAATAATAATTTAAGTTACATATAAATTATTTAATTTTTACAAGATAATAATGAATTGATATTTAAAAAGAGATTAATTTTGTTTGTATATTTTTATATTTTCCAATATGTACAATATACATATAATTGTATAATTATATATTATATATAACATATATAATATTGAGTAATTGAAATCAATTATCATCAAATTAATATTATTAGGTATTATATAGCATCTCAATATATATATATAATGTGTATAATATTACTATTTTTATGAGTTTATATATAATTAATAAATTATATATATATAATAAATTATATACATTATAAATTTTGTTTTAGATATTGTTTTAGAAATAACCAACTACTATTTAACTTAATCAAAATAAGAAAATGAAGTCACTTTTTTGGTCTATCTAGTTGAGATTCAGCAATTGAAATTGGAATAGTATTTATTAATTAGTATAATATAATTATATATAAGAATAAATTATTATATGAATCAAACTAACTTAAAACTGAATTAAATCTCACTCTATATTAAATTTTGCAAAATGAAATATCATATTATTTATAAATCGACTGAATTCCTTCTAATATATATATACATCGTATTATAAAAGATAGATAATATAAAAGATATATAATAAAGATTATATATAATATATAAGCAAAAAAAAATAACTTGAAATAAAATTCAAAATGAATAATTCTGAAAATCATTTCCATTTTATCATTTTTTTTCTTTTTTTTTTTTTTAATAACAAAGAAAATAAATTAAATTTAAGTATAACCTAAATTTTAACCTAAAATTTAACTTTTTCTAAAATATTCTTAAAAGAAATTAAAGTAAAAATGATTCAAGAAACAATATATTTTTTTATATAATTGCCAAATTGGATTCTCAGATAAAACACATTTTAAAATTCTGTTCCTTAACAATTACACTATTATAGTTTACATGAATTTCCACGAATTATGTAATTATATTCTTATGACTGTATGGTTATATATTATGTAACAGAAAAATTCAATTAAAATAAATTTTTCGTAATTAAAATAAATCATTGTAGATAAAAAGTTTCGATTGGGAATGAGTTTTTTATTACTATTCGTAATGCCACTGACATTTCTGGATTTCCAGAAATCTATTTTAAAATGATAATGTAAGATTTAGAAAATGGCAATCCAAAAAAGCTGATTGATTGCTATTATTTAATAGTAAAGATTACTTCATCTTTTAACATATTAAATTCATTTTTCATCCATACTAGAATAGAGAAAAAAAATTATATTATTATGCAATTATGAATATTATCGAATGTAAATAACAGTTCGAAATAGAATTCTGATGAAGTAAAAGTAAAGAAAAAATCAGATGATTATAAAATTATGACTATGAAATATTTGAAGTTTGATAAAATCTTTATTAATTAATGGAATGTTTCATAATAAAATATTCTGTCTGAAAATAAAAATAAAACATGGAAAATTGAATGTGAATTGATCAGTTGCAGTTTATCACATTGCATAACTAAAATATAAATTAAACATTATCGAGTGTATATAATGTATGTAAAATATGTGTTGAATGCTTCTAGGAAATAATTTAAAAAGCAAGTTTTCTTAAAAAAAAAAACAATGATAAAAATCTCTCTCTAAAAGTAAAAAAATATGTTTCAAATATCTATCACTTAAATTATAGTTCTACTCAAACACTAAATATCAAAAACTGGTGCTCTCATCTTTAGACTCATAAATGACATAATACTATGTGTTGGAATAAGAATCGGCCACTGAAAAGAGAGAATATCATTATTAATTCTATTCTAGTATCTATCATTAGTATCTATCTAGTATCCTATCTAGTATTCTATCATTAATACTTTTTAACTACTTGTTAACTACTAGTAGTCATAATTATTTATACATAATGGTTCACTATTTGAATATTTTTTATTTTTCAATAAAGTATTAACTAATAATTTTTTATTCTTACTGAAAGTTTGTGAGTTAAAAATGTGGAGAATAATGAGTAGTACAATGATGCTTATAACAGCAAACATTTATTAAAAAGAAAGATGGTTTGAAATTAAAATAATTTTTAAATTTTTAAGAAGTAAACGCCAAGAGAATAAGAATAGACATCCTTCAATTCATCAGTATTTTGAAAATTTTTGTTTCCGAGAAATTATCTTCAAGTACTTTTATATTTAGACGTCAAAATAATGAATATGTATGGATTCTGAGTAACAGATTTCAGAAAGTATGAATGAAGATGTAAATTTCAATGAAATGAATTTTCGAATTTTGAATGCGTCTGTAAATCAGTTAATAAACAATCGTAAACAATAACAAACAATTCAAAAGTTCTTTTATATTACATATAAAATTTCCAATCTCAATTCTTCTTTGTTTTTTCTATTCCTTTTATTTTTAAATCTATCATAATGTCAAAATTGAATTATATATTTATCAAGATTTCTTTACAAAGATGTTCTTATAATCATTTCTCATATATCTCAAGACTTCTTGTTGTTCTTTAAAAGTATGAAATAAATATTATTAGTATGACATTTATCAATTTTAATATTTTATTTTTAAAAATTATTCTTTATAGTTTTTTTTTTAATGCTCGATTTTATCACCCATGCGCAAACACAGTATTTTAAAAAATATTTTTCTTCATCTGGAAATGAATGAATATTTATCAACTGTTGTAAATTCTAATAACAGCTTCCTGGATTTTACTGCTGCTTAATCGCCATCTTGCATTTCTAAATACAGTAAAGATATTGCTAGAAGTTTCAATGAGTCAGTGCCATTAAAAATATAATATTATGTTATAAAAAATTATTTTTGCATCAGAGTTATTTTTATCTTTTTATAAATCTTATTATTAAGTAATATTTATTATAACTTATTTATGATTTTTCAAATTTATAAAATTGTTAAAAATCTTGGATTTTTTCGAATATATCAAGAATAACACCAGAACGTATAAGATACATTTATTAAAATATTATTTAATTTTATTTCCAAAAAAAAATTACATATTGAGCAATAATGATAATTCAGCAAAAATAATTTCAAGTAGTTTTAAATTTATCGATAAAAATATATATTCAATAGGATCAATATTTTAATATCGTGCTGCACAATTACTAAAATTTCATTATTTTTCAGATATGTGAATAAATATGAATAAATTTTCTCGAAAATATATATGTACATATTTATATATAAATTTTACATATTTATATATAAATTTTTGTCAATGACTGTACTTCCGAAAAATATATATCTCCAATTGACGTGAAATTTAGAAAGGTTAGAGAAAAGCGATGAATTATAATTTAAAATTTTAGCTTTGAATATTTATTAATTTCCGAAATATTAATAAAAAGGTTTCTATAGAATAGAATATTGAATTCTATATACATTCTAGATACAGATGTAACTAACACATGAAATTTATACAAACGTTACTAATACAATCATTTACGCCATGGATCGTTATCATGTCCTCGAATGTAAAATAATCGATGACACAATATAACGATACCAATTTCAATGCATTAGATATCGCAAACATAAACGATTATTGTAATTTCAATCGTTTAAGGAATATATTCTATTTTCAATACAATCGTTTTGTAATACATGAAATATATAACAACAGTCTCTTAAACTTTATATTTTAACTTATCAACAGAGTTACCGAATTGATCAGAATAAATTTTTAAAATTGTCTACAATGGTTGACAATGATTATTTTGATTATTTTTTTCCATTTTAATTTCACTGATCAAAAAATATTGGATTTCAATAATTATAATTAAAATTTTAGAATTAAAATTCATTTTTCCTTTTCTTCTTCTTTCTAAATTAAAAAATATATATATTTTTTTTTCAAAAAAATATTTTTTATATATTAATGATTTTGAATTTTTAATCTTGTTTTAATTGCATACAAATCCATAATCTATTATTTAACTATCAAAGTTTATATTAAATAAAGCAAAAAAGATATTATCTCCATTTTACTTCATGTAATGTAAACTTCAATTATATATAATAAATATTTATATAAATATAAACTTATCCATGTATTATTTATCCATATATATTTATATAAATATAAATCGATTTATATAAATATAAATCTTAATCCATATTTTTGAATATCAACTTTTGTATTCTGGCTTTTAGAATCAATTTTGTACAAAAAGTGCCACAATATAAATATATATACATAAGATTTATTTATATTTATTGTTTTTATACTTTATTATTATCTATGAATACTTAATTATTTATTTATTAACATTATAATCATATTTCTTATATGTTAGTCACAAAATTTAAACTAAAATATCTTTAAAAAAAAAACTTTCTTGAATTTTTAAAATAAAAAAATAAATTTTCTGGAATTTTTCATTTTTCCACAAACTACTATTATATAATTAAAATTATAACTTAATACTAAAACATCAATAGAAATAGTGCAAACAAAGAAATGCAATTTGTTTTATCTCACCAATACATAGAAGGTCATTATTGCAGTTTATATTTATCACCCAACTTTGTCACTTCATGCATATTGCACTCCTTTCCTTAGAATTTATTACTACACTATTTTGCAAAAAGATCTCAAACGACTTGCATAAGTATTTTCTGCTCTATTGTAATTTTCACGTGAATCTTTTAACAAGAAAAACAATATGTCTTTATGGTGGTTATTGATATTATATTTTGGTATAATTTGTCAAAAAATTACAAAAGCCCATCATCATTCGAAAGATTTCAAGGCAAATGCCTTAAAAGTTGTACACCAATGGAAATACTTCGATTATAATTTCGGTAGTAACGAAAGAAGACAAGCTGCAATTCAATCTGGCGAATACAATTATAAGAATAATTTTCCAATAGACGTCGATCGATGGCATGGTAAAGTATACAAGGTGTTAATAATCATAGAACATCTTTGTAAGATCGATTCTACAAATCAAAGTAAATATGCAAAAATATCAGTTGAATAGTTCATTTCTCAAGTTATAAAAAATTCAAGTTTGCATTAGAAAAAACGAGACACAAATAAAGAATTCTATTCTTATAAATTAAAATTCTATTCTATCTCCGCCTTCCTTTAGCGAAAAATTGTTCATAACTTTATAAATAAAGAACATTTTTGTATATCAAAACTTTTGTGTTTGTTTTAAGTTTGTTTTAGTCTCTAATATCAATTCTTCAAAAGAATTTCATATTATATATATTATAATATATTAATATATTAATATCTTGTATATTTTGAATGAATATGTATTTACATCTTGTGCATCAAAATAATTTATATTAGATTATTATAGATCAAATTAATATAAAAAAATTTTATATATTTTATAAGTTTATTGAAAATAATATTAATAAAAAAATTCGATACATCTTGTCTTTTGAAGAGCAAGATTAAAATTATTACAATTATTCTTAATTATATTAATTTGATTAATTGTTATTAGTAATTCCTTTTATTTTTTATAATTATATTTGTCAATATTATATTTGTTAATATAATAATTCTTTACCAACAGAATTTTTTATATGTTATGCTGAATTTTAAATCTGCAACAAAAAATATTCGATTAAAATAAACACATATTATGATATGAGATTACATTATATTATAACAAAATATTATAATACGTTATTATAATACGTTATTATAATTCTTTAAACGTTACTTATCTTCGAATTATAATTTTGCAGATTAGAAAAATCAACCATTATGCAACAATCTAATTCTTAATATTTTATATTTTTCGTTCTAGATAAAACTTTTGTCACCATAATAAGAAATAATGGTGTGCCTTCGTCTTTGAACGTGATATCTAGCAAAATTGGCGATAATGGACCACTTCTGGAACCATATCCTAATTGGTCGTGGGCGGAAAATAAAAATTGTTCTGGTATTACGAGCGTTTACAGAGTTGCGGTAATTAAGAACTGTTTTCATATTGGAATTATAATAGACTTCTATAACATTAGAGATACGTTATATGGATGTATTATAATATGAAAAATCAATCATTTCCTCAAGAAGAATTTCACTTTTGTACTTATTTTACAAATTTAATTTAATCGTACCACATGGCGACAACAGTGCAATTTTTATTATGCGTTATAAAAATAATATTGTTCTATTATATTTTATTTTTCTTTTTATAGAAAGAAAAATTCAATTAATATATTTTATTATGATATTCTATTTAGATTGATGTATGGGATAGATTATGGGTTTTAGACAATGGTATTAGCGGTCAGACATCTGTGTGCCCTTCGCAAATTGTCGTCTTTGATCTGAAAACTTCAAAATTGTTAAAACAAGTTAAAATACCGCACAATATTGCGATAAACTCTACTACTGGAAATAGAAATCTAGTAACTCCAATCGTTCAAAGTTTTGATTATAATAATACCCTGGTAAGTCTTGTTTGATCACTTTGAAACCAATTTTAGCAAATTTTTTAAAAAATTCATTTTAGCATAAAAATTATTGAATTTTTAGGAAACTAGATAATTAATTTCAAAAAAGTTGATCAATTTAATTTTGATCAAAATTAATAATATTTTTATATTAAAATATATTCGATATTTCATAGAAAAGTTTTTATTAATAACTTCTTAATAAACGCCAAATAAAATCTTTATAATTTTCATTATGAAATCATTTCAGCATAATTCTTCCTCTAAAACAAATTTAAAGAAAAACAATTATAAAGTTTGAAAGTTTAAGATATTAATTATTATAATATATAATATATAATATATATAATATAAGTATATAACATAAATTCTATTATGAATTACATTTATAATAGGTATACATAGCAGACGTCGAAGGTTATGCATTGATTATTTATAACAATGCCGACGATTCTTTCCAACGATTGACTTCGAGCACTTTCGTATACGATCCCAGATATACCAATTATACTATCAATGAAGAAAGTTTCACGTTGTACGATGGAATTTTGGGTATGGCACTAAGTCATAAAACACAAAATCTTTATTACAGTGCTATGTCTTCTCATAATTTAAATTATGTCAATACAAAACAATTTACACAAGGGCAATTTCAGGCTAATAATGTACAATATCAAGGGTACGTAGTTAAATAATGTTTTTTCATATTATATATTAAATGATTTAGATACTTATATTCTTTTGTTTGTTTCACAGAGCCTCAGATATCTTATGGACTCAAGCGAGCGCTAAAGCAATATCGAAAACTGGTGCTCTTTTCTTTGGACTCGTGAGTGATACAGCACTTGGCTGCTGGAACGAGAATCGGCCACTAAAAAGGAGGAATATCGTTAGTAATTGCAAATATTTTTTTTTTTTCTACAGCATTCATAAGTAACAATATATTTAGTTCGAACAATATAGATTGTCTTGTTTCTAAAGTAGTATTTTTCGAATAAAAATTTTAATTTAATTGTATCATATATATTCAGTCAATATTCTTAAAATACTGTGTCTTTTTTGATAAACAATTTCTTTAGAAAATCAATTTTGATTTTTTTCTCAATATATAATATAATATAATATAATATAATATATATATAATATATATATATATATACACACGTAATAATTTATATAGTCTGTTCTGTATAAATTCTTCGCAAAAAATTTATTTCTTTATTTTCAATTCTAAATAACAAACAGATAATCTAAATGCCAATAATCTAAATAACAAAAGATAATCCCAATAATATATTAGAAACTATTTTTTTAGAGATCAATAAAGATATTGATTTCAACTTTTTTTAAATTGTTTAACGAAGACACATTTTTATTATATTATAATTATTTTTCGTGACGATTATATTATATTTTAAGTATTTAAAATTTTAAAAATGAGATCATTATACTTAATACATGAGTATCACTGTGTTAATTCTGTGATACTCATAACATTAAATATTTGTTACATACTGTGTAAATAAAATACAAATTATGTTAAAATAATTTTCAAATTTTTAGGAAATAGTCGCCAAAAATAGCGACACTCTTCAATTCATCAGTGGTATAAAAATTTCCAAGGAAATATCTTTAAGTATTTTTGGATATCAAAATAACGAATATATATGGGCTCTAAGTAACAAATATCAAAAAATAGCAAATGGAGATTTAAATTTTAATGAAGTGAATTTTCGAATTTTAAATGCACCTGTAAATCAATTAATAAGTAACACTCGTTGCGAAAATCGCAATACAAATTTTTTCTGAATTCTCCTTTGATCTTTCTATTTTTAAATTTATTGTTAATTCTATTGTAATGTCCAAATTAAATTATATATTTATCAAGATTTCTAGTTATTGTTCAAAAGTATGGAATAAATATTATTAGTATAAAATTTTTCAATTTTAATATTTTATTTTTAAGAATTATTTTTTGTAATTTCTTTTAGTGCGCGATTTTATAACCTATGCGCAAAATATTTTAAAAAATATTTTTCTTCATATTTGAGAATGAATGAACATTTATCAGTTATAAATTCTAATAACAGTTACCTGGATTTTACTGCTACGTAATTGCCGTCTTGCGTTTCCGAATACAGGTTAAAACATTGCTAGAAATTTCAATGAGTCAATGCTATTGAAAATATAATATTATGTTATAAAAAATTATTTTTGCATCAGAATTATTTTTATCTTTTTATAAATTTTATTGTTAGGTAATATTTATTATAATTTATTCGTGATTTTTTCAAATTTATAAACTTGTTAAAAATCTTCGATTTTTTCGATCATACTGAAAGAAATTAAAATATTGTATAATTTTATCTTTAAAAAAAGTTACATAAAATTTTAAATTAATTAATATTCATTAATATTGAGAAAATTATTATTTTTTCAAATAATCGTCAAATTAAAATTAAGAATAATTTCAAGTATTTTTTTCTAAATCATAAAAATACATTTTCATATGTTTTAATACATAGCTCTTTATATATATATATATATATATATATCAACTTAATTATAAAATTTAATTAATCACATTTTAATTTTTTTAAATATATAAATAAATTTTTCAATTATACTGATAAGTTCCCAATTATTTCTCAATATTTAACTGAATTTATTAATACTGAATCAATTATGCCATAATTTGATTTGTTCTCTAATTCTTGGCCTACATCACAATAAGAATCAATCACTATCACTCGATTTGACTATCGAGCAAGACATCGATTCACATAATTAAAACACTTACGTAACGACAAACAAAAAATCTTCGAAAAAAAATTAGTTATTGAGTAAGTCTTATTAAAGTGATCTTAGAAGTTTTTAAGAAATTGGATCAGAAATTTCACAATATTATTTCAATTTTTAGATTCCATCTTATATGATAGTTTGTTCATTGTGTTATATAAGGAGAATATGTATAGTTTTAATCAGAAACAAATAATAAACCTATTTATTTTGAAAAATTTTTAAATTTTTAATTTTAAAATTATTTAAATAATATATAATTTGAGGTAACAATAACAATTTTTAATTGCTTAAAAGATTTAAATAATAAATTTAATAATAAAATAAGATTAAATTATACAATTGAATATTGTTGAAAGCATCAAATGTTTATATAATTGTTTATAAAAATTTATGTTATGAATGGAAAGATTAAATTTATTATATATCAAATTTATTATATATTATAATAATTTATTATGACTATTAGGTTAGTAATATTCCTCATATTTCATTGGATTTTTCGGTTAACTATGATATATTATAATAATTTATTGATTGATTAATTAAATCCACTATATTCAGAATAAATTGTTTAATATAGTGACATTTGAATAATGATTCAAGTAAAATATAAATAAGAAGTAAAATATATAATAGTTATATTTCAAAAAAAAACTGTTTGCAATAGTCTATTATTGATTTTTAAAAAGTAAAGTTTTACAATAATTTATTAAATTTATTAATAATATCTATCAATAAATTGACAAATTATAAATTGTAAAATACAAATCTTACATTTATAATTTCATAATTTTATATAATTTTATATTATATAATATATCAAGGATAATATAACCTAATGAACTATAATTTATACTTACTTGTAAAATTTCATTTATTTTATTATTCGATTGATTAGTCGAATATATTATATCCAAAAAATATTATTATTAAAAAATTATGATTATTAATTATTTAACTTTCTGACTTATAAAAATAATAATAATAATCTTATAAAATATTAGACAACGTTAACGCAAAACGCCCTCTCACGTATTCCTCATCATTTCACTACTTGCATCGAAACTTTTTTGAAATTCTAAATAATAATAGTCGAATACTATCGATGAAAAACTTAGTTTAAATTCTTTGAATCCTAGTAAAAATATTTCAATATTACACCCAATAAATTATCTGATTTATTAAATCAGATAAAAATAAAATTACTTTAGAATGCAAGCATCGTTTATTATTCAATGAAATAACAACTGAAGCAACACGATTATCAACTGAAAATATTATTAGATGTATTGATAAAATTGTTTATGGAAAAAGAAAATGACGAAATGAAAAGTAGCAAGTGTAGAAAAAGATTTCAGCTTTCTCAATTCGGCCGAACTGTACAATCCAATTACAGTCTGGTCATCGGTCCTCGAGTGTCAGTCTACGTGATTAAGTAATCTCGAACGGTTCTGTGCATCGTTTACTCTTCTGAATCTTGAATAATAATTTAGAAAAAGAATTCTATAAGAAAAAAATTACAAATTAATGAATATTTTTTAATATAAAGTTATTAGAGAACTTGTATAAAGATAGAGAAACGAAGAAAAATTTTTTTAAACATTTTTCTATGAAATTATTTTTGTACAATTCAGTGATGCAAATTTTGTGTTGAATCAATTCGAAAAATTAATTAATCACCGAAAAGGAAGAAACTTTTAGAAAAAATACGAAATAAATATAAATTTTTTATTTCATATTTGTGCAAGAATAAAAATAAGACGCAAAATATTAGGTAAGTCGATGAATTAGGTTATAAACATCGATTATACTTATCCTAATCGATTTTTTAAATAATTAATTTGACTTTCTATTATTAAGTTCGATTTTGTTTCTTAAATAATGAAAAATTCTATTTACTTTTGTTTTTTGTTATTTTTATTCTATTTTATTATTATATTAGTATTCTATCTTTTTAAATACGAATAATGGATAATTCATATTTAATTATTATAATTGTCTTTTTAAATATTTTAGATAATTCATATTTAATTATTTCCTTCTTCTTGTTATATATAGATTATATATTATTATATTATATATATTATTATATATAGATAGTGAAAATTTATTAGTATTTTTGCTTATTCGATATATTTAGATTTAATAAGGAAGTAAAGTTTTGAAATTGAAAGTTCGTATTAAATTCAAATGGTCTCGCGTCATTTGTTGAACGAGTCACTGGAACAGAATAGATTGATGTTTTTAAACAATATGGATCATTTGTTTCTCTGAATTTTTCAGTTCAACTGTTAGTTCGATAACCATGAGCTTGACTTTAAAACAATCGAAATGAATTATTAAATCACCTTATTATATCACCTTGCTTTGATATTCGAATTTTCTCTTTTTTAACGATTCGTTCGAAAATTATGTTTAAATATGTAGTGAAATTTCCAATAAAGTGAAAAAAAGATATATATGAAAAAAAGGGAAAGCGTATCGAGTTAATTGCATATGATTTACATGCATGAACGTAAATCTTTCTCACTCGATGTATTTGATAGCTTGTCTTTCAATTTCATTGGAACATTTTAATTTATGAAAGATCAGCTCATTAATGAAATAATGCAATTTTTGAAATGCAATAAATATAATTTATCATTTATCATAATATATAAAAATAAATGTTAATAATAAATAAATTGGATCTTAATGGATTAAGAAAATAATTTATGCAAATATTAATATGATATTGATTATTTTCATATCATCATATCATTGATTATCTTTCTAATATCATCAAGAAAATAAATATAATGAATATTTTATAATACAATTTTATAATACTATTAATTTATAATTTTGATATTCTAAATTATGTATTATGTTATTTTGCAAAGTAATATTGATATTAATATGTTATTAATAATTTTTTATTTATATTCTTTTTTCGATCAAATAGATTCTTGCAATAATATATTTAAAATGTTTTTCAAAATAGGAAATAAAGAATTCTGTACTTTTATTTTTGTCTTAAATAATTTACTTTTTTCGATTTATATTGAGAAAATATTAAATATTCTTTTTTGAAAATTTTTTTCTTATTGAAAAATATTGACAACTCCAATTATTACGAAATATGAATGGCAATATCACGTTATTAAATTCTTGTTTACATTTTTCTACACTCAACTTTTACACTCAATTTCACGAGTTAATTGAAATTTAAGAAGTAATCTCTTGTTTCATTTCTACAGACATGTCATGGCGAGAAAAAGGAAAAGCATCGAATCCAGTAAATGGTCCAAAAATTCATGGATATCTACCAAACAATCGAATAGTTATTCATTCGTATCTCCTACTCATTCTTTCACTTATAATTTGGAGAATTCTAATCCAAAATATAACCATGAACATTCTATGGTTCAAAAAATATGTAAAGACAGTGGTTCGTCCGGTACAAGTAAGTATAAATGCTATTTTATCAAATATCAATAAAATTATAATTTCTATATTTTATATCTAGAATAAATATATAAAGCAGGTAAAATATTTTACGGTATATCCAATAGTATGTAATATGTAATATTTAAAAATATAACATTTTTTAATTGATTAAAATTATTATTTATTTTTAACTGATATAAAATATTATTTAAAAAAAATTTAAAGAAGAAAAAAAAATGAATTTTTATATTAAAAAAAAATATTTAGATTATTTATAAATTATCAAAATAAGAAATTATTAACAATTTTGAATTTAATTCGATACTCTTGATACTTTTTTGAAGAATAATATATTTTAAGTTAAGCTCATAAATTAATAATATTGACAAATCAAAAAAAAAAGAATTTATAAGAATTTGTTACAAATTTATATCAAATTAAAATGATAAATATTTTACAAAAATTATATTATAAAAATTAAAATAATTGTAAAATTGAAAAAAAATAGAATAAGATAATAAATAGAATGGAGATATTTTATGAATTTTTGAATTTTTTATTATGATATCTGAAATGAAAAATAAGTTTTTAATTAACTTTTAAATCTTTAGAATATTTTTGTTAACAAAAAATTGAATTTGCAGTCTAATAATAAATATTAAAGAAAAAATAATAAAATTATGTAATAGAAGTATAAAAAAATTTTATTAATTAATAATATTTAAAGTCTGCGCAAAATTAATAATATTATCAATATTATTCATTATATATCATCTGGAAAAAAATTGAAACAAATTAACTAACTTAAAAGTTTCTGAATACTGTCGAATATTGAATATTGTCGAAAATAATTGTACTAATAATTCGAATTCCTTTGAAGAAAAAACAAAAATATAAAGTGAAGTTAACAAGAAAAATATGTGTCATTACGTAAAATTAGTTTTAAATTTCATCGCGCAAAAAACAATAGTAGCAACCAACCAGTGTGTCCTCGTAAAAATAGAATTATGACGTGAAACAAATTGCTTCCCGGGAAAATGTACGCGCGATTGTTCTAAACATTTTTTACCATTTCGACGTGGCAACAACTATCGCTATTCATAATTGCATAACGCACTCCTCGCTTTCATGAATCAAACGATATGTGCTACAATGTCAAATTTACTCGAATTATCAGTTGAATAAAATCGAGTATGCAATTAAAACTTTTAGCTTAGGTTAAGTTAAATTAGAATTTTTTTTTATATTTCTTTTTCACTGTCTTGTTATAATTTTTCTTTTAAAGAAATCGTTAGATATAATTTCACGCAGATAAAATTTTGAATTTTGGATATTATTTTTCAACTTGTTTTCAATTCTATGTTAATATCTAGATATCTAGGTATTTATTATATTTTTTTATTTAAATTTTTATATAAATTATTTAAAAAATATTTAAAATTATATAAATTTATTTATATAATTTTATTTAAATTTTTATATAAATTTATATATAAATTTTGATATAGATTTTTATAAATACAATTATAGAAATGGAATATATGCTTCATCTTTTAAATATCATAATGTAATTTATTATGAATATTTCATATATTTTAACATACCATATACATTTAAATTTTCCATAAATACATAAATATCCGCAGTCTAATCATATTTTTTCCTTAAAAAAATTCCCGTAGTATTTAAATAAAACAGATACTCTATATATATATATTATCACAAAATTATAAAATGAAAAGTTATATTTGCATAATTTATAGTTTTAATGATATTTTAATTCATAGTTTTAATGATAATAGTTTTAAGAATTAAAATTTAAAATATTTCTTATTTCTCTTATCAGAACTGGTTCCAAGCGTTCATTAAGCAAGTGTGAAATGCTGTTACCTTGAATGGATGTCAATCTATAGGGAATTTCAATCTTCCTCGTATTTAATCTATCTCTATCTCTTCTCTTTCTTCTTCTTCTCTTCTCCTTCATCTTTCTTCTTTTTTTTTTCCTTTTCTTCATGGCTCACGTTATATCTAACTACCTCGATCGAAGAAACTAAAGAGTTCTCACGAGATTAATGCTGACGTAACGATGTTCCAATGCATTCGGCCGAACAGATTCCTCATTTCGCAACATCAAACGATTGCTCAAAACATGCTCTAAATATCGAGCATCGGCGCAAGTAGCAAATTCACTACTAAATTATAAGAAACATTATGATTACAAATGCAAATTATACAAATTCAATTATACAAATTTTTATTAACAGTGTTACATCATATCAATTATTTTTGTTTTGTTATAACAATAAAATGAATATTTCAATTTTTTCGTATATATGTCAGAATTAATGTATTTTATTTTTTATTTCAACAAAGCTTTTTAAATTCAATTGTCTTAAAACTTTCGAAATATTTTTAAATTATATAAAAAAAGATAATAAAATTCGCTTTTATTTTAATTTAATAATTGAATGATTAATTGTAAATTTTATAATAATAGAATTTAAAATTTACTATTTTATACATTGTATTTTATACTTTTTTTTAAAAATTTATATTTTCTTTTGACTTCATTCATGATTTATTAAACTACTTTCAAATTTATCAATTTTATACAATAAATGTATGACTTTTCTAATATTCAATAATCCCACAGATCCAATAACATAAATACAACGCATTATTTTCAAGTTTTACAGTTTTTGAATCAATCGCGATTGTTAAATGAAAATTTAGCAAGATTGCTGAAGGAATACATTATTCCTGAATTTCCATATACATGACATTATATTATCCTCACTGCCACTACTATATTAGGCAAAAATACGTGAGTAGATTTTCATCAAAGATAACCGTTGCATTATGTCACGTGACGTCTGTTTAATCTAGCAATGATAATGTAATGACACGTTATTCTTTTTACAGAAATTCGCTAGAAAGGAATTGAATCATTTTTAATGAAAGGAGAAATAACGTATTGTTCTTGTTCGGCAATTTTGAGCATGTGACGTCATACTCTTATTTGAGAATAATAGAAAGAAAAAAAGTTAATTAGAAAGAATAAACATTCGATCATTATATTTACGTTTTTATAATTGACAGTGTTGTAAGAATATTAAATACGTAAGGTATATGATTTACGATGTGAAGGTAACAGTGATTATATAATCATTCTGTAATTAATTATTGCTTGTCTATGATTATCTTAGCTTAATATATATATCGGTCATTTTCAATTCTGAATTATTGTTTAGTGATTTTGAAATTAATTTTAAATAAATATTTAAATTTAAATTTAAATTAATTTAATTTTAAATATAAAAATAGAAGAAAATAAAATAAAATGAGATATCAAAAAAAAAAACTTTTAATGCTTCTAAAAATTTTAAGTGAATCTTGGATTATTAGGAATTTTTTATTAAAAAAAAAAATTTTTGGTTGTCAAAAAAATAAAATTTTCAAAAATTTCATTATATCTTTTTTTTGTTTTATTTTTGAGATAAATAATTACAAAATCTCTATTTTTTCATTGAAATATTAATATATATATTGTAACTCATCTTAAGTAACATACAAGAAAATATATAAAATGATAATATTTATTATATTAATATTAAATCTCTTAAAATAGTTTTCTCTATTTGGAAATTAAATCATTAATTAGTAAAAAAAATATTGTCAAATACAATTTCAAGATTTCAAAAACTTTAGAAGAATATCACTGTGAAAGTAACAAGTCATGAAATAAACTTATTTGCAACCATAATAGCCCATACGTAGCCAATTAAATCCATTCTCAAGTACACTCAAATGTCACAGAGAAGCTGTTCCGTTAGTTTCTTTACTTTCAAATGAAGGCATCAAAAATAAATTCAATAAGTTCAAATCAAACAATAAATTCTTATTGAAATAATTTAAATAAAATTTTTATTTCATTTTTATTATGTTAAATAATATTCTTTGAATAATTATTTATTTTAATATTTTCTATTTTATTACCTCTATTTATTCTCTATTATTATTTGAATTAATCAAATTTGATAAATAAATCATTTGACAATGACTCATTTTTCAAGTAAAATTTTCAAATTTACTTGCAATTTACTTTACATTCTCATTTCAAATAAAAATATATTTCTTACTATATTTCAAACAATTATCTCTTCCTCTCATCTCATCTATCCTCTATATTCAATAATCATTTTTTATCTCTCTTTTCTATTTTATATCAATTAATTATCTCTCCTCAAATAAAATTTTACTATTCATTTGCAAACATCTTCATTCCCTATTTTATTCCGATTAATCATTTCTTTTTCTCATCTGTTATTTCCATTTCAAATAAAAAGAGGGCACAATCCTAATTGAAAGCATTACACATTCGCAACATTCTAATGTTTGGCATTGTTGCAGATATAGGCGGATCCCTTTTTCTACATTTCACGAACACGGGCTCCCATGAACCCGCCGCCAATGACCTATACCGCGGACGAGAGGGAAAATCTTCTCTAAGAGAAGGGATTCGCCATTCTCTCCTTTCGTAGTACATCTAGACACACTTATGACCCGGATAGTGAATATGGCAGTCGAATAACATCCTCGCTCTCATCCCAACTGAACATCTTCATTTCACTGTCGCGTGTACCACAACTCGCGATTCTTCGTTTAGAATTAAAAAAAAAAAAAAAAAAAAAAAAAAAAATTCCTTCAAGTTTCTTCTTCGAAAAGAAAAAAATAAATATTCCATTCCATAAATGTGGAATACTATTCGTTTCGATTAATTTTCGATAAATTATTGTGGTCAAGGGAACAGAAAGAGTCAGTGGGTCACCTTGAGGAAACGCACTTCGTACATTTGAGGAATATATTTCAGGTACAAAAGGATTATTGAAATGATATCGTTTTTTTTTTTTTTTTTTTTAATTTTTCTTTCTCTTTTTCTGTGTGATTGTACATTACGAGAATTTGTATCGGTGAAATATCGTCAGAGTTTATTGCTTAATTTGTGTTCTCGGTTTTACTTTCACGAAGATGAGTTGAATGTAACATTGATTGGGACTTATTAAAATTTGGGTTAAATGGGTGAGTAATTGATAATTATTATAAGTTTATTGAATTTTGATTAAGGATGAGTTTCTGAAATCTAAAATTTTCGAAATTTTTTAAATTATTTTTATGATTCGAAATTTTTCGAAAATTAAAAAATTTTGAATTCTGGAATTTTCAAAGCTTTTTTTGTTATTTTTAGAATTCAAAATTCTTCAAAAATCAGAAAACTCTGAATTCTAGAAATTCTCGAAGTTTTTTTCGTTATTTTTGTGATTTGAATATAAAAAGTTTTGAATTCTCGAATTTTTTCTTTTATTTCTAAAATTCTCGAAATTTTTATTTTATATGTATTAAAAAATATATAATAATAATAATAATATTTAAAAATAATTAAATGATTTTCTATAGATTCCAGAATCAAATAAGCATAATATTACTGGAAAAAATTACTAGAAATTATTATCTATTAAATTATTATCTATCATCTAAATAATTTCTTAACTAATGAATTAATTTAAAAAATTATAACTTTGAAACTTTATTTTAATTTTAGGATTAGTAATTCATATAATCTTTTAATTGTTTAGAAAAATGAATATATAAAAGTTATTTTAATTAAATGTATCTATAAAAAAAATTTTATTAGTGAAATTTCATATATATGTATATATATATATATATATATATATATATATTTCATATATTCTAATATATCAGTACATATACGATATTTCTAAATTAATTTAAAAGATAAAATTGAAATACGATTTGATTGAAATAGATAACTTGATTGAAATAGGTAACTTGATGTTTCTTTTTTTCCTTTTATGTTGAACAAATTGAGTTTACAAATATAAAATATTACAGAAACAATTCAATTATTAGGAAAGATATATTATCAGTTAAAAGTTTAGAATTACTTTTCTACTTATAGTTAGATTAAATTTTCTATTAATTTTGTAACTAATTATCCATAGATTGCGCCTAGTCGATTATAATTTACAAATTTTAATTTGCAAATAAATTATAAAAATACATTTTTCAAATGTGCAATAATTTAATTAAACTTTCTATTAACATGAATTAAAAATGACTCAGCGTCACTTTCCAATCATTTATAATCAATCCAATTCTTAATCTTCCAAGGATTGTTTTATATATGAAATAAATTTTTCATTTCTGAAAAATTTTATTTTTGCAAAATCTTTCAACCAAACAAATGATTATAATGAAACTTTTTTAGATTTTTTGAGAAGGGAAAAAAATAATTGTGGACAAATGTCAAAAAAAAAAATTGTAAAAAATATTTTTTAAATTAAAAAACTTTAAATTAATTGTAAATAATAAAAAATTAATAAACTTTAAATAATTACATACTTACATACAAATATTTTTATTTTACATGAAAAAATTTTCTAAGCTAAGAATATCCTAATTATTTTTTCTTTTTTTTTTTAATTTAATTTACAGATTTCATGAATTTCAAAATTTTGGTTAATAGTATAAGAATCATTAAATAGATTGTTTTTATAATTTTCTCGGAGAAAGTATATTCGGATGACATGCTCATCACCTTGAAACCGCAAAATTATCTCTAACACGTTCACTTTCTTTCGAATTCCATCAATTTCCTAGTTAGCTGGAAGCTGTTCGTGTTAATTACACATTATTATGGTATTTCACAAGCGATGATGTAACTGTATTTATTTACAGAAGATACAGTTAATACCAAATTTAACTTTCATTCAAGCGATTCGATATCGTAAATAATTCGATGTTTAATGAAAATTTTTTTTGGCTTTTTTTAATTTCATTTATTATTATATTTTTTTTTAATACTTTTATATTTAAATTTTCTATTTTTTTTTGAATAATAATATATAAATTATTTGAATAATAATATATGAATGAATTTGTATTGTAATTAATACAATAATAATACTTGAGAACAGATAATTATCTTGCTAGGATTAAATAATGGAGTTATAATGAAATATCGTATTCATGTATTTTATAATCATTAGATAATTCTGCAGTTCATAAACTTTTCTCTATTTTGATTATTCGATTCTTTATTTTTTTTAAATAATAAAATATAATAATCATGAATTATTAATTGTAAATTACTGTGCAAAAGGATATAATAGAAGGAAAGAATTATTAAATTATAAAATTATTATTTGCATATAAGTTGGAAATATAACCGCAATAAACTGGAATTAACGCAGCATGACATTCAATATGACATTTCAAATCGTTGGAGGGAAGGTAAAATAGCTATAAACTTCTTTAAAATTGCTTTCAACGATTTAAATGAAAAGTATTCGTTTTATCCATTTAAAATATATTATTCGATTAGGATCTCGTCTCGAAGCGGGATTATTAGGGCTATAAACTTGAGCAAGAAACAGTATGCCAAGAGGCATCGATGGGAAAGTAACGATAACTATAGAAGCTTGTCACGATATCGCCAATAAGACACCATCGCAATCGCAATTCTCACTCGGTATTCTTATTCTGTCGATAACTTTCATGGATCCAATTTAATAAGAAATAACGTTATGAATATTTTATCGCAAATCAAAAACTTGTTCCTCTCTTTGTTAAATATTACAGAATATTTTCTGTGATATGATATTTTTTTTTTATCATTGTTGTTTGTTTCCTTATTTTTAATTAAAATAAAAAATGAATATACATATATTATATAATTATTATTATATTTAATAAATTTTCCGTATATTTTAAATATTATTTAAAAATCATTTTATTTATATTATCCACATTTATAGTAAATAGAATGGAATATTAATCAACATTATTTTTATATATTAATTAAAGTAGTTTTTTTAAATTCGATTATAAAGTAATATATTTTTTTAATTTGAAAATTTAAATTCTAAAAAAAAATAAAGAATTAATTTATAAACGAAAACATTAGATAAAAAAAAAATGAAGATATGTGGGATATAAATAATAAGAAACTATAACGAAATTTGAACGCATGATTCTCCAATTAGAAATTGGAACTTTTTACGTTCTGTGATCTGTGTTACAATATCCTCTTATTGTTAATTCCTTTTAATTGATAGCTCTACTTAATCTTCAAATCCTCGTCGACTTTCAGAAAGTAATTAATTATTTGTTTTATATTTTTTTATCTTCCTATATTTTATTTTTATAATTTATTATAAAAATAATAAATTAAATATTAAAAATTATTAATAAATAATAATACTTTTATTACGTAAATTAATAAATTAATTAAAAATTAAATAAATTATAATTTATTATTATTAATTTATTATATTTTATTTTTTATTTCATCTTCTTTTTTTAAGTATTTTATTTTATTTATTAAAAATGTTTAATTAAATTTCGTAATCATCGCAAAAATATATAAAACAAGTATTTCTTTCTCTGAATGAATTATATCTGCTATTCAAGTACTGTACAATATATATAGATTACATAATAGTTATCAATTTCACGTCGCTCGAAGCAAAATGGTTACACGATAACCGGGTCAACATGAACTTCGTTGAGAAATCGATTGAACGAAGGTCACCGTCCCTGCCTATTGAAATTTCTCCTTTCTTTTTCAGGTATGGCAAACGTGGTTCCGTGGCTGCTATCAATATGCCTGTTTGGCCTCCAGGAGATCGCGATCCAACCTGGAAGCGATGCGCTTTCACGCAATCTTGAAACAAACGGTCAAAGAAGTGTGTCTTCAGGCTTTCGCTCGGTACAAACGATTTTTTTCTAGATAAAGTTTAAATACAGAATAGTAATATATTTGTGATTTTTGAGAAATTTATTCTAAAGATTATAATTAATAAAAAAAGTTTGCATATAGATATATCAATTGAAACTTTTTTTATTAAATTATATACGATTTAATTATTTGCATTAGATAAAATGAGACGGAAAAATAAAGTGCAATGGCGGTACGACGAATATAAAAATATTTCATTTTTAATAAAATTTTCGATTAAAAATGTTTCATGAATATATAAATATTCTGTAAAACTGAGAATTTCACAGCAAAAGATTATTTATAAAAAATTTTTATTTTAATCTTATTTTAAGAGATTAAAGAATTAAAGATTACCTGTAAATTATTATATATTATTATATTATATTATTTGATTTAATGTTAAAAGGAAAAAAAATTAATTGAAATTAATTAAAAGTATATATTTTTACGTAATAATTCATAGTTGATAAGAATATTTCAATTTTTTATATAAATTTGGGATTGTTCTCTAATTTGCATAAAAAAATATTTATTTTATTAACAAGAAACGATACCTAAAATATATAATTTATGAATTTATAAAATATCTTTTATAAAATATAATATATATAATATATTCAAATTTATACTTTTATTACGTAAAAAAATAAAAAATTTAAAAATTTCTTAATTTTTATTAACATTTATAGTTTATATCATATTCTTTTTTAGATATATTACATGTAATAATTGTTAAAATTGTCAAAAATGGATTTGTTCTCTCTTGCAAGATGTTCAATGAAATAATTGAAGAGAAACATAATCATAACAATATAATTATTTTTTATAAAAAAAATAAATATATAGAGATTAATTTATTACATGTATCATATTTATATGATCTCTATGTATTCATGTGCAGAAAAACTGTGTAATGTATTTTTTTATATTAAGTAACTTTTATAAGAGTATTTTTTATAACTTCAATCTTTTAAGATATTCTATTATTCTCATTTAAAAAAAAATCTATATATCTTGTATTTTTATTATAAAATTACATTATTATATTAATCAATAATTTCATTAATCATGTATTTGTTAATTAACAATCTTATCTTATTCAATATAAAATATTTTAGTCTTTAAGAAATTACAAAACCTTGATATCGAGTCATGATGAGCTTCCTGGCCATATAAATTGCGACTCATTCAAGTTTGAGGAAGATTTGATGAATAAATTGCCTACCACTCCAGAATACAACAATCATCTTTATGGCTCAACACCAGATTCGAGAGATTATTTTTCAAGGCCTTTCGAGAAAAGATTGCATTCGAGGTTACCTGGAAGAAATTTCAACTTACTCAGGACAGATGCAAATTCGGTAAATGAACTAGAGTCTCATGGATTTAATTATGATCCAGGTCGTGGACACATTGAGGACGACTATGTTGGTCCTGCTATGGAATTAGTAAGTTTTTCAAAAAATCAAAGTAAATATAAAACAATATGTTAATAACTCAATAGAATTAAAAGAATTAAGTTAAGTTAGAAAATTTCTATGAAATAAATAAATTTTTCAAAAAAATCAAAACAAAATAAAATTAATTGATTTAAGTACAAGAATTTTTGATAATTCAATAGGTTTATGCATGGTCCACTATCGATTACACTTATGACAGCATCGAAGCTCGAGATTCGGCTATCTTCGATGGAGATTTTATAGCTGAAAACAATTTACCTTTGGGACTCGAAGTTTGGAGAGATAAAGTTTTCATTACTCTTCCAAAATGGAAAGATGGTATTCCAGTCACATTGACTACCATACCCAAACATTCGAAGACAAAAAATCCAAAATTGAGACCTTATCCGAACTGGGAATGGCATACAGTAGGTTAGTACAATACTGTTAGGTCTCTCATAAGTAATGGCATTTAATCAGCACCAAATAATATCATTTTAACTTTTATTAATTTTAATAAACATAATAATAAAATAAATAATAATAATATCTTATTACACTTATACATATTTTTAATTATTATTTATATTATTTATATATTAATATTCACATATTATAAAATAGTTTATTAACTGAATTTATTTAGAATACACTACTAATTAAAATGTGTAAAGATATGTTGCATAACTTTCTTCTTTTTTGTCTAATTTACTTAAATCCATCATAATAAAATATTATGTAAATTTACATTTTTATAATCTAATTAAAGATACTTCTAATATTAATTTTTATTTTTAGGAAACTGCGATGGACTAACTTCCGTCTTCAGAATTCAAGTGGACGAATGCGATCATCTTTGGATCTTAGACTCTGGTAAAGTGGATATAGCGAAAGGAGGCAAATTGGCTTGTCCTCCAGCGATCTTTATCTTCGATTTAACCACAGATACTCTTATCAGAAAGTACATTATACCAAAAGATCAAGTAAAAGAAGACTCCTTGTATACCAATATCGTTGTAGATATCAGAAACGAGGATTGTGGCTCAGCAATAGCTTATATCTCCGACGTGTTCCGTTATGGATTGTTAGTATATGATTTCTTCAAAGACTCCTCTTTCAGAATTCAACATCATTTCTTCTATCCTGATCCCTTGGCTTCTAAATATGAACTTCATGGCATAAAATTCCAATGGACAGACGGGATTTTTGGAATGGCACTAAGTCCAGTGGATATTCACGATGACAGGACACTATTCTTTCATCCTATGTCTAGTTTTCGAGAGTTTGCTGTTTCCACGTCTATTCTTGGGGACAAGAAGACAGCTGAAGAGAATACTGATTACTTCATGCCTATTGGCAGACCCAGAGCCAAAGATTATGGTCATTCTTCAGGTTCCGTGATTGATAGAAATGGAGTAATGTTCTTTAATATGGTGACTAGAGATTCTGTCTGGTGTTGGGATACTAGAAAAGAGTACATACCTCAGAATCTTGGTGTCATAGGTACTAGTAATTTATCTTTGGTCTTTCCAAATGATATCAAGGTTGACCATGAATATGATCAAAATGTATGGGTGCTCTCTAATAAGTTAGCTATGTATCTTTACGGAAGCATCGATAGCAGCAAGATTAACTATAGAATATTCAAAGCCAATATCAAAGAAGCTGTCAAAGACACTGTTTGTGATCCTAATTATGTTGTGCCTGGTTCTGAACATGGTTATGACGAAATTTGTTGAAAATTATTTAAAAGACATTGATGACAGATGTAGGATTATATAGTGAAGAAAAATATGAATATTTATAAATAAAAGATAATGAATATTTATAAAAATTAAGGAAAGAGGATAAAGCAATGTTATCCAATCTTTTTTGAATTATAATTTCCTTTTGCAATATTCAAATAATTTGCGATTCCCACTTCCATATAAGCTAACTAGACACTGCCTTTAACTAATGAAAAAATGACTTTGATATACTTAAAATATGGCAAATTATAATATTATAATTAATAAAATAAATATAAAAATTATCAATAACAGAAGCAATTTTCTAGGAATTACTTGACGATAATCAAAGGCAAAGATTAAGAATTAGGATGGATAGCAATTGATTCTCTTACTTCGGGAAAGCGAATATGAATAGATGTTATAATTTTAATTATAAGAGATTAAAAGAAAAAGCAACTACCTCGAATTCGCTTTCTTCTGAAGTAATAGAAAAGTTTCATATTTTTGAACTCTAAAAATAAATGAATTCTAAACATTTACTGTGTTTTTTTGATTACATTTTTTGATTTAGTTGATCACATTGATTCGTAATCAGGGATTTAGTTCTATTGTATTCTATATTAAGAGTAATGAATAAATACTCATGATCGTGTAATGAAAATACATTAAATAAATTATCATCAAATAAAGATATTATTAAAAAAGAATTGTTTATTTTTTATTATCTATTATATAAGAAAAAATAAAAAAAAAATTTCTCATTTCCTTCTTAGGTAAATTGATAATAGATAATAGTTTTAATGTATTATATTAGATTACCGAATATACATCAGGTTTTGACATAAATTTTTTTCAAAAACAAGAGATCACATATAATGACCAACTTTTCAATTTTGTTTAAAAGAATACAATCTACGAGAAGATAGCACTCAAAATATTTTCGGAATTTTAAAATTAAAAATTTTTCAATTCTTTGTAATTCAATCAATTTCTTTGTAATTTTCTTAGGAAAATATAATCTGTGAGAAAGTAGCAAACAAAATTTTTAACTAAATTTCAAGATCAAAATTTTTTATTCAAATTCTGTTATAATATTTATTTATGAAATACTTGAAACAATATATGAAACAATAATTATTTTTTACCATATCTTTGTACTATTATTTTTTATAATATTGAATGTTTTTCCTACAATTTCCTTAATTCTATAGATATTTTTTTTTCATATATTTACTTTTTGCAACTCTTGCTCTTCTTTCTGCCAGTATTAACTTAAATATTATTACTTTTTTCTTTTTCATTTCTTTATTATTCTATTATTTGTATATTTTATTTCTTACAGATGCCACGAAATCATTAATATTAAAATGTTCTAAAAACAATTTAATTTTAACCTATGATATTTTCTTTATACTATCATAAATAAATAAGATAGAAATTATTATAAGTCGCAGATAATAAGGTTTGATAATATATTATAAAACAATAAATATTTTTTTTAATTTTATTTAATTTTATTTAATTGCATATATATTGCAGTCCTAGGTAAAATTTATTGCAAATAGTAATAAAAATAATAATTTTAAATCGAGCTGTAAAAATATTAATTATTTAATACATTTATTTTTTCATATTATTATTTCATATTTTTCGTATAAAATAGTTTATAAAATATTTTAATTTATAATTATTTGTATAATTTCGAAAATAAATTATTTCTCAAAAAATTTTAAGAAGTAATTTTAAGTAAAAAATAATATAATATGAATTTTTAAAATATTTTTTAAAATATCTAAGTAATATAGAAATAATAATTTTTCGTATTTCTTCGTATAATTTTAATTTTTGTATTGTAATAAAATAAAATTTAAAAAAGAAATAAAATGAAATAATTAAACGTATAATTATTATATGTTTTGATTCTTATTAGAACATTATTCGAATTTGTTTGAATTATTTATGAATATAAATGTGATATAGATAAAGAATGTTTGGAATAAATGAAAAAATATAATATTTATATTTATATATATAGAATGTTGATTATATAAAATAGATAATAAATATATACATATATACATGTATTTCGAATTTTACACTACTACACATAAAATTTTTTTTTTTATGGCATAAATGTTTATGCTTATCTGAAAATTTTTACAATAAAAGTACGCACGTAATTGAAAACAACGATTCTCAAGTTGCTATTCAGAAATCGTGAAGTGTCGTCGTGAGTGAAATTAAAATGTATAAGCTTTTTTCAGTTCAAATTTATAATTATTAATTAATTAATATTCTAAGTATAAATTATTTCTAATAAAAACTATTTCTAATAAAAACTATTTCTATATTTTTAAAGAGTTAAATAAAAAATCATTCAAGAATGTCTAATCACAAACCAGATTATAGGTTATTTGTGTGCGCATCAAAAATATTTTAGATTTGAAAAACCAAAAAGGAATGTGACAATTTTATTTCTTGTAATTAAGAAGTGATTATAAGGCAATGGCGATTCTCTCATATCTAAAATCCCGCGCCTTGCCTCATTTGTTATCGAGTTATGTTCACTCTCGTCAATTGTCATCTCGAAATCGTTCGGCACGCAATAATCCCAACGGAGAAGCCGGATGCGTCAAAATTAACGTGAACGAACGAAACACTCCTTTGAAATTTTCCGAGTGATCCTCAGTGCAGAGGTTTCGGTGATCGAGAGTTTTTCCAACAGCTGATAAAGTCGACGATGATCGGCTCTCGTGGAATCAACAACTCGCTGGTCCTCCGGCTCCTTCGACAGTTTCGTGTTCCTGATGCCTAATTTCCTCGGACGTCTCTTTGGAATTTCTTATAAAACTGAACGATTGATAATGAACATTTTAGGTTTGGTAAGTATCGTTTCTTTATATCGATATCTTTTCAATTATCTTTTTATTTACAATTTCTTTATGCTTTATCGATTATAACCTCTATAACCTTCGGTTTTTATTCATCGAGGAAAAAAAGAAAGGTTAATCATTTACACTCGAAAACTTTTCCATTCTAAAAAATTAGCAATTTGAAATGTGATTATAAGGAAAAATATTTGACACAAATATCACAAATTGATAAAGAAGTCTCTTTTCTAGATAATTTATAAAAACCATTTATTCTAGAAATAAAACATAGAAATCAAAATTAAATTAATCTCCAAAAACTTTTGAGATCAATAAATAAAAATAATTTAAAATGCACTTTACATCTCTATTCATCATAATCAAAATATTCTTTGTATGAGCTCTATTTTGTAAGATCAATTTCGGTCAAGATAGAATACTATCTATATATTATTATTAAAATTTCTAAGTTTGAATAATTAAAAAAAAAATGAGAAAATTATTTTTATAATTTCTAGAATATTGTAAAGTATAATATTAAAATTATTATAAATAAATAATATATCTATTAATTTTGTTTCCAATTTCTATGTAAAATTGATTAGTGTGGCAGTTAGACACACTACAGACAGAATAGATTAGAATGGCAGTTTATTTTTCGAGTGCAAATCGTTAAACTTTGTCTTGAAACAAATCAAATATTTTTCATTAAATATATTTTTCAAATATAATCCAAAAACAAATACGCAAATTCTATCAGAAAATATAAAAAATTATTTTTGGGAAAAGTTTTTAGTATCTTGAAATCTATTAAAAAAAAAAATTAAAAATTGAATCTAAAAAAAAATTGTATTAATGCAATGAGCAATTAATTTTCTCGATAAAGAGATAATTAAAAAAAATATATATATTTATCAGAACGTATCTTTCAAAGGTTAATAGCACACTAGATTGGAGTCCCATTAAATGGAGAAACAAGCTCGAACAAATATGGAACTTGTCTTTATCGCAGGGAACCCTTATTTTTGATACTATTGGAGAGGATACGATTAAAACTGGTTAGAAATATTCCTCGAAATTTAATAAAAATGAAATTAACATTACTAATTTATAATTATTTTTATTTTTATTAACTATAGCTTTATCATGGATCGTAATCACACGAATCATTATCGCCCATGTGTATACGATCTCTTATCTGACAAATATTTATCCCATATTAACATCTACTCGTCCGAACTTGTTACTACCCTGGTTGATCCTGAGCTTCTTCAAAAATGTCGTGCTGGAAGTAATCGTAATAGCTATTGGCCTTTTGCTTTGGTACGACAAGAGATTCTCGTTAACCATTTTCCTTGAATTCGTCCTTGTGAAGGTCATTCCTTTGAGTAAGTAAATATTCAATTATGGCGCATTACATATTTGAAATGAAAAGTATGATTAAATTAATTAATGTTAATATTTTTAAATTATATAAAATATTTAAATTGGAATACAACTGAAAAGAAGTAGTTTTTGATAATTTTTGATAAAAATAAAACGAAATATATTATATTTATAGAATACAATTTTTTTATATCCGGGATAATTCGTTTTTTTTTAGAAAAGTAAATTTAAAAATTCATTTAATACATTTACACTTATAAGTACTCAACGAATTTTCTTTTTTTTTATTATAACGCAATTTCAAAGATACTATAATGATTTCAACGATTTCATCTGATTTCAATCTTAACATATCAAAATTTAATAAAATATATTTCTATCATTTATACAAAAATATAATATTCAAATATAAAAATATAATATTCAAATATTCGAAAAATAAAAAAGAAAAAATAATAAACAAATAATTAAAAATATTAATTATAAATAAATATATAAGCATATTTATAAATCATTAGTTAATAATCACGTGACGCTATCATGTTATATTTGTTCATTATAGTTATTATATTATTATTATATTATATTATTATATTATTATTAATTGAGTTATTAATTAATAAATATTTTAATAATTATTAAAATATTTCTAAAATTTATCTTCATTAAATTTATATTAAATTTACATCTAAAAATTTCATCAAATCTTCCTATCTTTCAGTAATTTTCAGTTATGTCTGGTACTCTAACTCCTGTCTATTTATGGAACTGCGTCACATGGAGAAACAACGAACATTGAGAAGAACTATGAGAAGCGATTCGAATCTGATCGCTGCTCGCATCTGCTTCAAAATAGGTGATTCGAAGTACAGAACACGGTCTTTGATGACCTTGATATCCTGTGACAGTTATGATACTTACGATACACACGATACCATCTCGCGAATCATCGACGATACCACGTTAACGCCCGCCCAAAAGACGATGAGAATTCTTGGATTGACCGAACAGGATATTGTGGACGCACGTTCAAGAAAGAAAGAAAGGGAAATTTGTAGAAGATTAACAGAAGAAGAAGACGATATTCCTGTCAATACTATTCTATCAGGATATTTTTTCATTAGTAATTACGATTTAACGAATAAATTAAGAACTGAAAAAACAGAAGATGAGAAGAATGAAGAGATGATAGATGAAGATACTATAGATAAGTATAAAAAAGATGAAGTTAAGGCGGACATGAAGGAACATGAAGATGATCAGGTAATAGGCTAGAAAGGAGCATAGGCAAAATTTTTTTATTATTATAACAAAAATTTATATTTAAGTTAAAATTTTAAG